TTGCATTTTTTAATTTAACTACTAATCTTCTATATATATAAAAATGGATTGCTGTTCCTTAGTCTCGCTAAAACTCGAGAACAGCTGAACGGATTTATCTTATCTTAGTCTTGAAATGTTCGTGGAGGTTCAGGGAAGGTATAAAAGCTGAAAAAAATTGATTCATTAATGGGAAAACTATAAAAACACCCCTTTTCTATTTCCCATACAAACGTTTTTTTTTTACATTAGATTTGACAGCTAACTAATATGTCAATCATTCTGTCGCACTTCAAAACACGGAGATTTATGGCTTACAGGTAAACTCCAAAAATATAAGTAAAAAAACGTAATAGATATTTCTTGATTATAGGGCGATACGAAGTTCGCCAGGTCTTCTAGTGCTACATATATATTTAGTGGCAACAATTAGCCAACATCTAAATTTTGTTCGATTTTCAATGGCATTTTTCGATAAATAAACTCTTTTTTACTTGTACAAAAAATTAAATTCTGAGTTATTTGCCCATAAAACAACGAAGAAGACATATTAATAAAATCACAATTCGTTGAAACATAAGCAATAGATAATATTAAATTTTCTGTTCCTGCTAGTAACTTGAATTACAAGAAATTTTAGAGCAGTTACAGTACTTCAAACTCTGAAACACTATGAGAGTTTGTACGGTCGAGAAATATTAGCTTAACACAACTCCTACGGTATAGTAATTGAAGTAGAGTAGCTGTGAGTTAAGTAGCGGTTGACTGAAACAGATTACGAGATTCAAATACACACGTTGTATAATTTAAAGTAGTTTCTTAATAATTAATTAACTTTAAATTTCTTATATAATACTACATTCTTATTACTGACCTCGGCAAGTACCAATGTGATTTTTCCGACTCATATGTACTTTCTAAGAGTATTTAGACAACACTGTTTAATGCATTCCCAAAGAGGGTTGATGTCAGGCAGGCGGCCGGTCGTAAAAACAATTAGCCACAAACTATTCACAACTTTTAAGGCAGACCCTGGCTAAAGCTGGGAAATTGCCAGGTAGAAGAAGAAGAATATTAAATTTTTATTCGAAATTCAATTTGTTGGATACTTATAATAATTTCCAAAATTATAAAAATATGCGCTTCCCACACGGAAATTTCGTGAAACCACAATAACAGCCTTTGAAATCACTTCCAGTTATCGTAAAGAAATGAGAAATTTAATTTGTATAACGGGCAAAAAGGTAATGAAAGAACAAAAATAATTTATTGATTAAACTTATTCTTACAACTCGATCCTTTGAAGATGGAAAAAACAATGTTTATATACTTATCTTAATTTGTATGAAATTGTGATAATACTTTAATATGATCATATATACGTATATTACAATAGATTTTTGTTTCGTTTACAAATATCCGCTATCCGTGTAAAGCGACTAATGAACCAAATACATCCGTAAACTGAGATATCGACCAAAACGACACAAATAAGCAATTTACAATTCTGATCCGTGGCGTTTACCTATTCATCATTTAGATTTATAGTCTGCTTATCTACCCCATTCGTTTTGTTGTTTAATTAAAGGAAAGATTTCATTGTCCTTATTTTGTGATGAATTTCCGATAAGACGAAGCCTCCCAATATATTTTTGCAAAAACCCTTTTTGCTTCGCGTCTTAATTATAATTGAGTGTTTTGCTTTAAAATTTGTCAATAGTGATGAAATCATATAAATTGATTAGTATTACTTGTACAATATTATTTAACTTATCCGTTATTGTCAGTTGCTACATATACGGCAAGCCATAATACTATACGATAAAATAAATTAATTTCTTATTTGTATGTAGATACTGTACATGTATTTAATAATAGTGAAAGCCAATTTGTAATTAACAGATAATAAAACATTGCGATTAAACATACTGTAGGTAAATGTTATCTATATTGTTGTATTATACTAAAGACTAAAACTTATAATGATTTTCAAATTAAAGGGTGAAATACGTGCAGCATTGCATACTTATAATCCCCGAGGATATTTGTGCGTCGGTCCAGACCGGACATATTTTTATATTCGCGAATTTGAAAGCGCGTTGTGATGATAGAGCTTACGGTCTCTTGGGAAACCAAAATCCCCAAAGACCATGCCATCAAGGTCAATAAATATTACGAGCTCACTAACGAACTAACTTGAAAAAGTTTCGTTGCGGATTTGTACGCGGTAGAAGTGGGAGCGAGAGGTATAACAGCTAAATATCTCTATAACCTACTAAAAGCCTTGGACCTGTCCAGAACTCACATTAATTCATTCTTGGAACGTACGTCGAAGGCAGCCCTAATAGGTTCCTTTCAAATTTGGTTAGGTAGGGAGAGGAGCTTGGACAGTGGAGGTGAGCGTATAACGCGCGTTAGTTAAGGGCCCCCTTAAACCTACACCTGGGTCGCAAGTACCAGGCACTGTTGAAGCTCCTCTCCCTGCAACGCGATGGACCCGGCACAGGCACGGTGAATCCATTGAATGCTAAGAGGTTTCGTCTCTAAAGACAAAATAACTCACGAATGAATGCATAGAGGTCGGTTACTCTTTAAAATTTCAAGAAACTCACACCTTCTAACCTTCTACCTGGCAATTTCCCAGCTATAGCGAGGGTCTGCCTTACATGTTGTGAATAGTTTTTGGCTATTTGTTTTTACGTCCGGCCGCCTGCCTGACATCAACCCTCTTTTGGGAATCAACATTAATCAGTGATGTCTAAACACTCTTAGAAAAATCACATTGGTACTTGCCCGGGCCAGGATCGAACCCGCGCCCTCGGCGACAAGAGGCCGGCCCTTTAACCACTAGGCCACCACTGACTTTTTAACTAACTTTTTAAACTCACAATAATATGGATTATGGCTAACACATTGAATACATGTATCATTCATCCCGAAATTGTATTTTGTTCCCATATGACCAAACCCGATAAAAACAGAAATTTTAATACACACTACAGTAATTTTAATACTATTTGCATTCATTTACCTAAATTAATACTATTACGTTCAAATATTTATGGATGACAAAAAATACTGTTCGTTTAGTTTAACGATGTAAGCTCGAGCTACGGAGAGTTGCATTTTGTATCAAGTTACCTAACACAGACGATAGATGGCGTTACTGGTATATCAAATACACGAATATAAAGAAAAATAATCTATGATCTTCCTTTTGTCTTTCAATTTAATACCTGTTTTGATTTTATCACTCGACTAGGCAAATTTGCGCTATCTGCCTTAGTAAATTCTTGCTTGCGTATATTAGATTTTAATAACATTTACAAAACAAAGTCCTTGATATAATAAAAACACGATTTAATGAAAGTTAATAATAGGAAATGTGTCGTTCGTGCGTGTTCTCTGCCTCGACTTAGAAGTGATGTCATGTTCTCTGATTGGTGTTGAAGTCATCACTGCGGATTGTCTTACTTTGTAGATTTATTTTTTAAATATTAATCACACTCTTAATTAAAAAATGGGCGTTTTATATTCCAAGCTTCGAGTTTAATTCAGTAAATATAGTATATTAGCAACTTCAATGACTGTCATCATGCCTATTCTACATATCTATTGCTCGGTACACAAACATTTGATTCAAAGTTAATACTGAGAAGTTTAAAAAAGGTTTTAATCTCCATACTCACTTTATGTAATTAAATGACAACGATTCCGCTTCATTTAATATTTAAAAAAAATAACAGATATAAAGATTACATGATACAAATTCAAAGTGATACAATTTTTTTTTTTAATTTTAACAGTATTTATGGCCAGTCTAAGTTAGCATAATAATATATTTAAGCACACATTATTGGCACTACGAAGGTTATGTTCATGTACATCATATATAAAATAACATTCAACAATCATGCTTTAACATTTTATTTGTCTGTTGATATATTTACAAAAAACATTAGGAACCTAAAGGTTGTGACAATACATTCCCTGTCTGAGGTATAATCATGTAAACAATGGTTTCACAAATGTAAAAGTTATTTAATAACAAAAAAAATTATAATAAAAAATAAATTAAAAAATTCAAACCTCGGTGTTCTATTCCATGTTTAAAATATATTTATTAATTAATTTTTTTTCTAAATATTCGTGAAGGCTGGTCCTCTTATATAATACAATCTATCAAGAATAATTGCGCGTTATCATAAGGATATGGTCGTTCCAACATACATACAGAAGCGGAACACAATAATTAATTTAATAAAAATTCCATACAATATCATCTTAAGTACATCAACTGATATTTTAACATCCAAAAAATATTATAAACGAATCTTTATTGCTTCTATATTTGTTTAAAGCATTAACATTTCTCGGTGCGATTGTACAGTAATTATAAGCCACATAATATATCAACATTGTGACTAAACATTTGTGCAATTTCAACTCCTAACTATTAGAGTCCACATATATATTTAACATGGCACCGAACATTCAATTGTACTATCAGCTGATCGTTGACTTTGATAACTTTAGCACCGGTTAGTTCAAAAATAACACTCCTATATAACTAGATATTATATATGTATACATATATATAAGATTTCATTTATTCATTCCTCTAATATATTTAAGTTATGATCTTTTATTTAGATATTGTATTCTGTAACAATTTCGCTGAAAAAATTAATTAAAAATCGACAATTGGTTAGTGACAAAAATACTGAAAATATTAGTAAAAATTATTTCATGATAATTAAATGTAAATTTTTGTTAATAATAATTTAAAACTGATTTTATTGCAAGGCAACACTAATTCGGAAAAAGTTTTCTTTATGCTGGCAATACACATATACGTCATCATTATTAATAATTTAAACGTTCATAATTTTATATACCAACATCATTCTTCATCCACATAAATAAACACATTTATAACAATACATTGAACTCAACTTTCCAGGTATATAGGAGTGTTATGTACAATAAATAACAGAACAAGCATTTATATTAATGGCAAGCTATGATTCTGTCTCCCACATTTGGTGTAAATATTTCATATGATCATGGGCCTTCTTCGTTATGTTTAAAGTTGGTACAATTTCAAGTAAACCGTTCTCACCTATCAAACTAAGTCCGGCTAAACCAAGGTATGTATGCATAGGGTCTGTGCATGTATCCGGCCATTTTGAGAATCCACCAACAACGCAATCCTGAGTTTCATACACATAACTCTTGTTGCTCTCGAAGTTAGATAGATGTAGCGCATCCAATATCTTCAATGAAGCGCCTACCCAAAAACTATAGCAAGTGTCCACGGGTTTGTTTGGGCGACCTTGGAAACCATCTATCTGTCTGAAAAGTAGCCATCTTTTTAAACCTTCTATTTGTTCTATAGTTAGTTTATCCAATTGGTTTGTTAAACTGAGTGTTGCCAGTGCACAGAATGTTGTACCACCATGGGATTCTAGCTCCGGACATTGGGCAATACCGTAGTCGTAACCCTGAAAAATAATTATATAATATAATAAACTCATCACTACTAAATAAATCTCTCTGACAAAAATAATTGCCTTAACCTCTCGTGTGTGGAGCGTCCCAAATTGGGACGCTCGAATTTTTGTCGTGTCTGGGGGGCGTCCTGTTTCGGGACGATCACACACTGCTTTAGTTTTGAACGTATTTTGCGGTGAATATAGTGTTTACTCTTTTGCACTTACGAAAATCGGACTCGGATCGGAGGATCGGATTAAGAAAGAATGACCTCTCACTATAAAATATAAATTAGCATGTTTATGGTAAAAAAAGTGATTTTTGAAAAGTTGTTTTTTTTTGTATAAGGTTAAGAAACAGGTCCAGTGAAAAAATAATGTATGTAGGGTATTATACCATTTGATTTTGAATTTGATTTTAAACACAAGACTGTATATCAAAAATAAAATATTACATCCAGTTGTTGTTTTATTTTGTACATTTTGTACATTGAAATTAAAGTTACGTTTTAGGAGACCCATATACTTTCTCAAAGGACAGATACAATGCAATATAAAATCAAGCTTAAATGATGTAGGAAGGTAAAGAAATATATCGTTAGTATAAAATAATCTATAATTTTCATATATTTTAACTAGATTTTGAAATAAAATTGTTTTTCGCGACCTGGTCTCAAAAATTAGTGCTCAAACCCCTGTCTGTGAGAGCGTCCTGTATTGGGACCCACAGATGCGCCGATTTTACATTTAGACCGTCCACGTTCGAGAGGTTAAACATTATATAAAATTCACCAATAACCATAATTATTCTGATGTATTTGAGATATATATGACGATGAGAAATATTTGCATACACTCATATTTTCACTTCAAAATAATTACTTATTCATTTAATTACTAAAACTATACACAAAGTCATATATCTCAATCAGTCTGATATTCTCACTAAGACTAATTTACTTTACCAGCTTCATATACAAGTAATTGCTAGTAGGATATTCAACTACCCTCATTAGAAAATTCTCACAAACATAATATGACATATAATATTATTTCTGGTACAAACTCACTATGGAATTTATAATGTAGTCAGTGGCTCGTTTAACATCAAATCCAGACCAGTCGTTCAGTATGTAGCTGATGCAAGCGGCGCAATACACGAACCTCATGTCTGATTCACAACCAGATAGTGTCGCTGAGAAATTACCTTCCTCACGCTGTAAGGCTTTTACACCTGGAATTAATTAATATGAGGTTGATAAAAAAACGAATGACTACAATAAAAAAATGTTTAAGTAGCTTTAATTTTGGATTCCTTTTATAAATGTGTCATTAGGTATTTTTTTTTTATTAATACTATGTAGTATGACTCAATTAAACTTGTAAATGTTATTTCATGAAATAATTTAATAAATACATATATATCCCTAGTAATATTATAAATGCGAAAGTAGCTTTGTCTGTCTGGTACATTTTCACGCCTAAACCAATGAAACCATTTTGATTTATTTATTTTTTTTGGTATGGAGATAGATATAACCCTGATGAAAGATATTAGCTAACTTTTTTCCCGACCACAAAATCACACGGGTAGAAACCCGTGTGATAGTTCTCTATGAAATGCAGTTCGGATTCAGTGGCCAGAGAAGAAGTGTGATGTTCACGGGGTCGGAGTCGCGGGCCAAAACTAATATGTAAATGTTATCTGATAGGTTTATATTTAGTAAATATATACATACATGTAAAAAATTAACATAAAATAATTTATCTCTTAAAGATATACCAATTTAAATTGAAAAAAGGTCTAAAACATAAAAGTTATCTTTTCTTTTTACTGTATTTTTATATAAATCTCTGGCAGAAATTTGTAAGATACAGATTATTGAAATACCCTATAAATATTATTCAAATTCAATTGACATCTTTCTCACTTTTTCTTCTAAAGAAACAGGCTAAGATCTGAACCAATACAGCCATTTCAAACATTATAATAATCTTCCACCTACCTTCAACCAAGGCTTTCCTGTTCACTCTAGACAGGTCATCACCTAAAGTCAGCAACACACACAGGCCGGTGTAAGTCATAGCCAGATGACCACATCTGTATTGACTCTTCTCAGAATCAAAAGGCATGTTAATTGTTGAAGAACCTTGAAAACCACAGGCTGTCATATCTCCAGCTGAAAGATTATACAAATAAATGAATAAACTTAATGAGATCATTTAAATGAAACTAATACTTTTCGGATTATTACGCGTTTATAATTATTTCAACCACATATCCCCCAAGTTTCGATTACTTTGCATCAACCATGATCACGAGCAGACGAGATGAAAATTTAATGGAATAAACAGTTCAATAACATTTGCTCTCTCGTTAATGATGAAAAAAATATCATGTTCCCAAAGTAAACAAAATGTTAAAAACTAGCTATAACTATCATTTTTTCTTAATTTTATATAAATAAAACGAAATAAACCTTCCAGAACAAATTAATTCTTGTAACATTAGCTATTTGCCAGTGAAACTCCATCTAAATCGGCCCAACTAGTTTAGTGATTAGCCGGAACAAAAATAGACAGACGTACATACATACACGAACAATATATGAAGAGCGACTATTTTAGTATTTAAAACACATGCTACAAAATGTTTTGTTTGTTAAGAATTGATATATAAATAAATATTTTAATTTTCGTTATAATTACTTAAAGTACAAAATGTCATCATAAGCAAAAAATTATAGACGTTACATTCGTTTGAAATTTAAGACGTCATAAATAGAGTTAAAAATGTACATACATAGTATAAATATACATCTTAATACAAAAATCATTTATGTGTCATGTTGTTTTATTTTACGCGGACATACTGTTTATATCAAAATAAAGAAATAACAAATGACTGTCATCTAAGACCTTAAAATCTTTTAATAATTGTATACCTGGTTAAAAATCAATTAATTCTAAAATTTAATATCCACGTATGTTTACTTGAAAAATCAAAGCAAAGTTTAATTACGTATAAAAAACATCAAAGCAGCTATATTTAGAGGAAATGTGCTTAATCGTAGAATGCTCAATAATCAATACAAACCCTCTCACATCGTTCAGGAATTTTTGTTAGATAAATACGTGAGGCATAATTTCTTTGACTTTTTTCGGACAAACACCTCTAGTTTTGATTTTAACTTTGTAAATAATATTTAAAAGACAAATTGTTAGTTTTTTTTGTCAACTCTTCTCAACGGAACTGCATTACAAACCGGCAAAGAGAGGTTTCACTGCCAAGTGACAACTTAGACATTTGATTTCTTAATAATTACAAATGCCTAATCGATTTTTAATTTCATAAACTTTTTATATAAGCCAGTTACGTATAACACAAAGCCTATGAATATTATGTTTACATATTCGTAATTTTTTTTATAAATTGTTATCAAATAATCTTTACTCAATCATATGTATTGTACCTACATAGTGCATGTGCGTACAACGTAAATCAATGTATCAATTTACATAAATTTGAATATTATAGATTCTCTTTTCAAATTAAAAAAAAATAAGATCCAATTAATAAATTGCCGCGAAAATTTAAGCTAGGGTTCATAAATCTTAGTATTTTAAAAAATTTATACATAATTAGTAATTTTTTTCAATCTTATTTAATCGTAACGTTATTAATTAAAAAAGAAAATCCTTTTAAGAATCTGTAACCTTAGTCCCAGTTTCCATCACACAATACACAAAGCCTTTACCGTTTCTTATACAATAACATACGTAAATACAATTATGTGCAAAGTATCATAAATGAAAAACTGTAACATAGTCAATACTCAATTGTAAAGCCAACCTCAACCAAGCTTACTGATTAAAAAATGTATGGGTATGTTACCTATTATAATAATAAAAATATATCATTAATATGACGTTTCTAATATAAATATTTATTCACGTAGAAATTAACTTACCATAAAATCATACCAAGTTAATATTTGTTTACCCTGAGATAAGAAACTTTAACTTTTTATCCTTACATTTAAAACTATTTAATATTATAATGATGGTTATTTATATAGAATTCGTCTCAAGGACATTAAATACAATAAATTTATAGATTTAAATATTAAACAATAATAAAACTTCTGTTTGTTATCTGTGTGTGCTTAATGAGGTTGTTTATTTGAAGCAAATAATGATTCAGGATTGGAACAAAAGATTTGTATAATGTAAAAACATTTCAGACTCAAAATAAAAGCTGTTTGATACAAATGAAAATTATTTTTAGAAATTCATAATTAGATCATAAAAAAATAGTAATACTTAGTAAGTTTTATTAATAAATGTCTATAAATTGTTAGTTTCTAAAACAAAAAAGTACCTTGGCATACAAATTAAATATATGAGATGAATATAGTTTTGACATATTATGTCAAAACTTAAATTTAGAATTTCTATTAAAATTACCATTTTTTTTAACTGGTTCAAGGATTTCAATATACATCCTCATTTAAAAAAAATTGAAGTAGGATACAAATACATTATCCTTTACTTTACAAACAGGAGTGAATCAAAGAATATATTATTCCCCTATTTTATTACACAATGTAATATTTCTAGTAATTCTTGTAAAAAATTTAATTTGAAATTTATATTGTCATTACATTCGATTCATTGATGTTGTGCTTAAAAAAAATTAATGAATAATTCAATCACACACAATTTTCTGAAAAATTCTACATTTAATTATCTCTTAGTTATAAAATATTAACCAGAGTTAATAATACCAGAGTTTTACTTTATATTGCGGAAAAAAATCCATTTTTATTACTAAAAACAATCAAGATGATACATAGACTCAAATATATGGTTTTAACATAAAATAAAAACAGCTAGATAGTGTCCTCCACTAGAATTATACATAAAAATGTAATACTTTTTTAATCTAACCCTTTTTTCTTTTATAATAACATGCATATATTTTACCAATATTCAATGTGTAAGTTGTGTATTATATTTTATAGTAATTCTTTAAATGGAATAAAAAAATCATTTTACAGGGTAATCTGCTATAAAAACTTTATGATATTAAAAATTATTAAACTTAAAGACATTAAAATGTTTAATATATACTCCATATTGATGTGATGTTAATAAAAATAAAAGGCATTAACTTTTGTTACAGCTTTAAAATGTAACCCAGTTTTTGTTTTGAATAAGACAAAATCTAATATATAAAATTCTCGTGTCACAGTTTTCGTGCCCATACTCCTCCGAAACAACCTGACCGATTTTGATGAAATTTTTTGTGCTTATTCGGTAGCTATGAGAATCGGCCAACATCTATTTTTCATCCCCCTAAATGTTAGGGGTAGTCCACCCCTAAATTTTTTTTTTTATTTTTTAGACAAAATTTTTAATTACTATTTTTTTATGATACAACGTACAAAAATACATACAATCCTAAATTTTCACCCTTCTACGATCAACCCTTATTTTTTAATAGCTATTTTAGTAATTTAATCATTTTTCATCTCCGGTCGATAACTGATCAATCGTCATTTAATAAGTTATCCCCGCCAGATATCTACAGGTGTCACTTCTGACCCAGTAAACAGCACGGAGTAGGGATGAGAACGAAGCCGGTCTTCTGTTTCTCTCACACAATTAGACTTCTCTCACTCCCTACACAGTTGTCGGCCATCGTTATTGTTTGTGCATCAAGTGTAGTAGTAACGTTGACAATTATTATTTTGCTAGCTCAGTGTAACTCTCATATTAACTATTAATCATTCCTAATCACTTCAAAACACGGAGATTTATGGCTTTAATAGGTAAACTCCAAAAATATAAATAAAAAAACGTAACAGATATTTCTTGATTATAGGGCGAAACGAAGTTCGCCGGGTCTTCTAGTTATATCATAAATATTTATAAAATATAGGTGAAAATTATTTGAAAACAAATTATATGATAATGAGCTCTAAGCCTCGCAAATTGTGTCGAATTTTTCAGATTTAATATGCATTTATTATTATTTGAAGCTATGTTTAAATCAATGTTTCAGTTACTTTGCAGCCATGATCATGTCCAGACAAGATTTTAATGTCCGTCTGTCCATAAATCAATCATGTTTACTACTTATTTCTATTAATATAATATATAAAATACTTACTTTCTTTATTTGGTTCAACTTGCAGCCTGTATATCCATTCTATTATCCTCGACTGCATGTCTATTGTCATTGATGTTATAGAACCTAATACATCTAGACCGACCACTGAGAAATATGCTATGGTTACCCTGAAATAAAATAATATATATCATAATATATAATTATGTAGTTTTATATGAAAAATATACAATGTCATTTATCTTATAACTGCTTTATAAAATCAGCTTTCACAAACATCTAATCAGAGTTTTCAAGCTCATTAAAAGTTATATTATAAAATGTAAATTTATTTGCATAATTATTTTTTTTACATCTACATACATATTGGGCTGAATGGATATAAACTTGTGCCTTGGTATTTTAAAAAGTACTTCAAAATAAAATTTATGAGTCATCATTATACTATAATTTAAAAAAATAAATTCTTTTCATAACGTTTAGTTTAGATGGACGAGAAAAATAAAAATGAAATACTGCACCTGGTCGTGTCGTGAGATGATAGTGATGATGGGAGAACATTAAGAAACCTCATAAAATATTTAACGTGCTGTCTGTGAGCCAAACAGTTATTTTCCTCGTTATTCATCTTAACAAACAATATTTAAACTTGTTTACAAAATTAAACGAAAATAATATGGTAAAAAATATGTTTATCTGGAACCGTAATTATTTATGCGAAAGATTGTCAAATTTAGACAACAATAACTTAGTTACTATCTCATGAGAACCGTAATTATTGATGAATACACTGTGAATGTGATTTTAACAGACGGTTTTAATTTATATTCAGAAAATACTGACTGATTATGATAAGGACATCGTGATAACGTCACGTTTGTGACATTGAATTTGAAAGGTTGTTGATTCATGATTGAATGTGACAACTGACAGTCTGACAATCATTTTCCATAGAGAAAAAATATTCAAATTTGCTTAAATATTATGGCGCTTCATAACCATACAATAATGGAGATTACAATAAAACATATCTTTAATCGTAATCGATTTAATTATAAAACATCAAATTAATCATGTTAACGTCGAGTCTAAGTATGACAAATTTTTGATAGATTTTAAAAGCCTAAGTAAAGCTTTTCCTCCAGTACAGAATAATTAAAAATATTTATAGTATATTTTACCTTATTATGATTTTTTTGCACTTTACAAATTAAATTTTATATTAAGCTATGATTCGTTAATTTCATTCACTATCTGTTATTGAGACTTTCCAAAATTAAAGAAATTTTGCTTTTCTTCACCTTAAAAACCTGATTTAATATTACCAACCACATAGACATTTCAAATTATAGGCATTTATTTATTCAAAATAACACGCTTGGTTTATTAAAAGATAAGTCATTAAGTTATAAAAATCTATATTAAATCATGATAATTCATACCTTTACGCATTAAACCAATAGCTCTGTTCAGTTTTCAAAAGGTCAAACAATATTACAAATTAAAATATATGAAAAGATGTCACAAACTATAATAAGATAAGACTAATATAAAACTATTAATTTTTCTAGATTTTTATTCAAAAAAAAATAATTGTATAGCATTGTTAAGTGTATTTAATTTCAAACAGATAATATAAGGTAGTTGTAATTTTTAATCTGTATTTTGTACCCGTCTAAATGTTTTCTCTATGATCTTTGGTTCTTTTTCATGGCTGACGTTCTGAGCAGCTAACTGCAGTCATGAAGGTGCTTAAAAAGTGTTTATTATTAAGTCTAAATAATCATTTATTCTTTAAATATGGTGGTTTTTAACTTCTCTGTGTAACATTTTGTATAGTACTTATAAGGTTCCATTCATTCCTGTTGTGATTGTCTTGTAAAATAGCGATATATTCTGCAATGTTGCTGATAGTGGAACTCATGCCCTATAAACACAGGTTTTTTGTACCCTAAAACGACACGTGAATGTTTTAAAGACAGTTGCTACGTCTAAACAAAGTTACTTTGTGTTAAGTGGTCGTAAATTGTGATAAATGTGAGTTATTATAACCTAGCTTTGTTTTTTTAGTTGAACGTCTCCTACCCGGCAACGGGATGTCAGAAGTTGTTCGAAGTTGTGGATGAGCATAAGCTCCGCATCTTCTATGAGAAGCGCATGGGCGCGGAGGTGGAGGCCGACCAGCTAGGCGATGAATGGAAGGGCTACATCCTCCGCATTGCCGGTGGTAACGACAAACAAGGCTTCCCGATGAAACAGGGTGTCCTTACCAACAGTACGTTTATTTAACTATCATATTACTTAAATAACTTAATGTATATATATACAAACAAGTTTAAGTTTTACCAACTTAACCTAAGCAAGCTTTCTTTATTGTATATTAATTAATTTGATCAGGTCGTGTACGTTTGCTGATGTCAAAGGGTCATTCTTGCTACAGACCTCGTCGTGATGGTGAGAGGAAACGCAAGTCTGTCCGTGGATGTATCGTGGATGCTAATCTTTCCGTTTTAGCCCTTGTCATTGTCCGTAAAGGAGAACAGGTAATTCAGACAAGTATCAATAGTTTATAACTATTATCATTACTAAGGATTCAGTATTGTTATTTACAAATCAATAATATCAATACATATATCTATTTTCGCATGTACTCACTTAAATGAAATGAAGCTTCTCAAATACTATGCGTTTTTTATATTTTGTAACGATAAAAGTGCCCATTTTTTCTGTCTGTGATCACAGTTGTAATTAAGGAACGAAATGTAGTGATTATGTATTTAAATATAAAAAAGTCTCATAGTGTCTGTAAACCTTAGATTTATTTTACATTATAAATATCAATAAAATGCAGTGGAAAAGACATTCTTATGTATGACCACAGTCAAAATCACCTAATGAGTGTGAACAAATTTCATACATTGAATCCATAAAGCCGCAGTTATGCTAACAATGATTCAAGGTTCATTAAATGTTTCATTCCATATAGTATATATGAATTTTGATATTAATAAAGCTTAAAAATGCATTAATATTAAAAATAATTATAAATTATCCCTGTTCTTACTGTTTCCCAGATCATCAAATCTGTGTAATTATATGCGGCAGGGTATATTAATATGGTCTATAGATGTGATACCTCGTAAATTGAGGTTGATACTATCTAACTTGACCAAACATTACTATAATTAATAGCTAGATTTTATTCATTGAAATATATGTACAACTTATGGTTAGGCAACTTATAGTCTTATTCGTATATTATCAAAAACAATTTCTGTATAAAATGAAAAAATAAACAAATATTTTAACAAGAGAATTGTATATTGCTTTTAAAATGTCCATGTATAGTAATAAAATATATCACTATGTCCTAGGCATATAACAAAAAATTCCTCCAAAACTAGCTGTAAATATCATACATAATAGTAGATTATAATTTAAATAGGTACATAACCAAATCCTTCATTATGCATACAAACATAAATTTTCTATACATCAATTTTGTACCTACTATGTTCATCAATATAAATATAGATTACTAACTGTAAAATATTTACATAGGAAATCCCTGGACTCACCGACGGTAATGTACCCCGTCGCCTCGGACCCAAACGTGCTTCCAAGATCAGGAAGCTGTTCAACTTGAGCAAGCAGGATGATGTGCGACGATATGTGGTCAAACGTCTCCTGCCAGCCAAGGAAGGCAAGGAGAACGCTAAACCCAGATATAAGGTGATTATTACCAAATTTTAGGTGTTTTTAAATATTACCACCAACTTTATGAGTGACATTTGCTATATCTTGACTTTGTCTACCTGGCAATTTCCCAGCTATAGCCAGGGTCTGCCTTACATGTTGTGTATAGTTTTGGCTATTTGTTTTTACGACCAGCCGCCTGCCTGACATCAACCCTCTTTTGGGAATTACAGCCATATCTTGACTATTTTAATCAAGATATAGCAGTACTATTTTAATATTTAAACTTGTTTAGTTACCTCTAAAATTTCACTTTAACACTATCAAAATGTAGATATGTAAAAATGTATACTTTCCCTGTTTTTCTTTTTGTTTTCTAGTTTTTTTTGCTAGAAAGACCTCAAATTCAGGGCATATCAAATTAGCTCCGAGCAGAAGACTCAGACCTTTGTCTGTTTACTTTTACAGTGAGCGAAACAAATATTAAATCACAAGTCAAATAATTCAATAAATAAAATAACCTGTTAAACTTAGTTTATTTTTATTGCATATACACTTGAATTTCAAGAGTCAATCAGTATTTTCAATCAGAGGTTCCCAAACTTACTTCATCTACTCCCATCTTTGAGAATAAATTATTTTTAGTACCCCCGATTTTTCCAGCTATCGAAAAATTGCTGTAATTTCAAATTAATTAACTATTGTGAGGTGTATATAGCTTAAATACAACACCCACATATATTTTCTAGGTCTCTTCCAGCCTCTTTAGGCGTTAGTGCTCATTTTGGGAAAGGCCGAATTAGATTTATTTAACTAATTTTGTTTAGATATACTAACATGTACCTTAATTTCCAGGCCCCTAAAATCCAAAGGTTAGTAACTCCAGTTGTACTCCAACGCAGACGTCACCGATTGGCCCTTAAGAAGAAGCGTCTCGCTAAACGCAAGGCCTCCGAGGCAGAGTATGCCAAACTACTTGCACAGAGGAAGAAGGAATCTAAGGTATGTATAAGTTGTATATTTAAGAATAGTCTCTTAACAGCTAGTATGTTTAATCTATATTAATATATAGTGTTTATACATAGCTGTAAGATTGAAGCTGTGTCTTACCCCTTAGCTCTTTTGTGTACGAGCTAAGGTATTAAATCAGCAACAAAATATTTAAATATGTTTTAACATATAATAAACTTTAAGCACATAGTAAATAAGTACAATTTTGAGTGTACTCTTTTTGATAATATTAATTTATCATAATATTGTCTCCAGGTGCGTCGCCAAGAGGAAATCAAACGCAGGCGCTCAGCATCTATCCGCGACTCTAAGAGCTCAAGCACGAGCGCCCCACAAAAGTGAAATACTTTTAACAATAAAAATATATAAAACCTATACATTTTCTTATTACCATAACCATATTAAGTTTAACAACACATTCAAAGTATGTCCGTTTATGTTTTTTCTATCTTTTTGTTATATGTTCATTGAAAAGTTATGTAACTATTTAATAATTTAATATCATACTAAATATGAAGTGCAATGCTTTAGGATAAATAGTATTGAACCACAAATGTGAGGTGTGAACCCAAAGGCAGTGCAATAGAAAAATTAAATGCCACGTGTCTATTTTTGACTTCTAAAAGTATTACTTCATAACTGGGGTCCCATAAAGTATAATACCTAAATTATGTTGGGCAAGTTTCTTAGTTATATAGGTATACGAAAACAGGGAACTACAACACGAAAAGTAGTTCGTCCATTGCGATAAACATTTTCAATTATCCATTATTCCAGTACTTGTATGTAGTAGTATTGTCCTTAAGAAGAGGAAGTATTGTTTTAAAAAAACTACTAATATTTTGTTATTGTCTTTTGTGTTTTCCCGTCAATATGGGACTTCCCGAAAGTATTTTGACCAGTAAACGGTAGGTACTTAACTTTTTCGGTCGCAGAGTTTTAAACTAGATAAAAGCATTCGACGTCGTCGTAGTCTAAAAATTTTGGTTGATTTCTTACCGAAATATTGGACATACGAAAAAAGCTTCAGGCATATGATTAAAATATTTAATGGCGATTCTGATATGACTGCTCATTTTTACAATTTTTTCTGCGATTATGCTGTTTGCTCGATTCAATCGTCAGTCTCTTTAAAAGCTTAAATAAGTTAAAGAAACTTAACTATCTTTCCCTCTTTAGCAGAAAAAACATAATTTTTATTAGGTATCTTTAGAAGAGATATCATAGAAGAAAAACATTCCTTCTTGTAAGTAACCCCAAGTTCAATACTTCGATAGACCAAACTAAAAAGAAATAGAATAAAGAAAAATTCATTGGTATAAGATATTAAGACTGCAACATTCATTCTTAATAATATGTAGTTTAGTAGTAGGTATTATAATTTATATAACGTGCTGCAGATTTATTATATAGAATTCCATATTATTTATTTTTAATTGATTTAATTGTAATTATTAATTATGTCTCAATTGAAAAAACCATTTCATTAAATACAAGGAAAATAAGATTTGGAATTCATAATAACACGGGGAAAACTTATGGTAAATACATACTTATTTTTTGATAGGCATTGATACAAACTCAGTTCATAAGTGATTGGCCTATTTGGTGGTTGGGAAAACAATTATTATTAAATAAGTATTAATAGTCTTAATATTAGAAAATTTAATTTTAATAGTAAATAGTTCTTAGTGTTACAATAATAAAGGCGAAACTTATTCATTGAAGATTGCGTACCTCACAAAAATATTGAATATTGTTGTCGATAAATATATAACAATCGTGTGCACTTGGGGTTAAATATAAGACGGAAAATGATAAGACATCATCAGTAATAATTAAGACGTCTCAGTTATTAGGGCTCTAATAAAAATGAAGTGCGAAATATTTCTGATAGTGTTTACGCAAATTGTATATATAAAATCAGATTTTAGTGATAGTGTTGGTTATAGTAATATTAAACTTTTTAAAAATGTTGCATCGGAAACAAAGGAAAATTTCGTGATATCACCTCTCAGTGTATGGAGTCTGATGACGACGCTAAGTTCTGAAGCTGGAGGTAAAAGTAGAAACCAAATTAAAAAAGCATTTTTCTTGCCCAAACAAACGAAATTAGTTAAAAATGAATATAATAATATGACTAGTACTATACAAGAACCCAGAGAAGGTGTGAAGTTAATTATGAAGAATTTTGTATTCATTAATAAAGATACGAAAATTGAAAATAAATTCTACGAAAGGTTGAAAAGAAATAATGGTTCTAAGACCGTAGCAAAACTTCTTGACTTCTCCTCGAAACAAGCAGCAATAGAAGCTAACAGGTTAATAAATGAACATACAAACCTTTCTAATGTTCTAAATGAAAATTACTTTGAGAGGTCAAAAATTATACTGACGAATATAATTTCATTCAAAGGTTTTTGGTCGTCAGCGTTTAACGAAAGTGATACAACAGTAGAGCCATTTTATGATGAATACGGTAAAGAAATTGGTACAGTTAATATGATGAATCAGAAATATCCGTTTCCATATTCTAATATGTATGAGATGAATTCCATGGTTTTAGAAATGCCTTATGGAGACGATCAAAAATATTGCATGTTAATACTCTTGCCTCACCCATCCGTAACTGTGCAAGAAGTTTATGGGAGCTTTCAAAACGTATCATTCAGGGATATTTTCGCAAGACTCAAGAGCGACGAAGAAGAATTTGATTTAACTGAAGTCGACGTTAAGATACCGAGGTTCAAAATAGACACAAACGTTGTCATAAACGAAGCATTGAACAGTATGGGAGTGCATGATATATTCGAACCAGGTCTCGCTAACTTCAAGAGGATGACTAAAGAAAATATTTACATCTCCTCCGTTATACATAAAGCACATATAGAAGTCACAGAGTCTGGCACTGTGGCATCTGCTTCATCTACATCGATTTTCGAAGATCGTATACTTTCACCTAAATTTATTGCCAACAAGCCTTTCATTTTCTTAATAATGGAAAAACCGACAGCAACTGTCCTATTCAGTGGTATATATTCTAAGCCAATAATATTTTAAATTAATCTTAAGTTTGTTAGACAAAAAATATAGTACCTTATTATTGTGATTCATACAAAATACTTAATATTAATTTTTTTAAGAAATAAAATTATGTTAAAAAAATGTTTTTTTCCCGTGGTTTCCCAAAGACGATAACAAAGTATTTATAATATAAATAATATATAAACAAATAGATAATGAACCTAAAATAATCGTTTCACATTGTTCATGATGATTTGATGTTTCTACTTAATTGTATTTTAGATTATTATTTATTTGAAAATTTTCTTTCTTATTACATGTTGTTTATGAATTGATTCTAAGAGATTTAATATATTACATGTAATCTATATATATATGAAATAAAAATAATGTCTCAAATGTTGGTTTGTATTCAAAGAATGTAATTTCGTAAGCTTTGCAATAAAACGATAATCGTTTAAGATATTCAATTACTATGATTTAATAATCGTAAAGTACTTTGTCTTATCGTTATTGCGTGACATAACTTAGTAGGATATTTGAGATATACGCAAACTAAATATTAATTTACGAGGCAATTTTGTTTTCAACTTCAGATAGTTGGAATATTTGGCCACGGAAGATGAGCATTTTTACGTAGAAGAACTTTTATATTTTGCGGTTTGATTAAAAGAAGAAAATAAATTCTGTTGTTCCATATTTGATTTTTTATTTGATGTTCGATGATGAGTATCTTGAGATAGACGGTTACTTATCTTTGCCCTTTGGGAGGTAAAAGCCTAGATTCTAGCAGGGTCTTAGGTACCTACTGACTCCGGGTGGAGGGCTACTGGGGTAACTCCCCAACAAAGCCAAATAGTATGCAATAATGTACTTTTAACGGTGTTAAAAAAAGATAAACTATTTCTTTTTGTTCAATCTAACAATATTATTATTTTTTTAATTTTCGAAAGTTGTCATGTGTGAAAAATAAATTATGACAATTACTTTTTTTTTTAGTCAGTGGTGGCCTAGTGGTTAAAGGTACTTTCTGAGAGTATTTAGACACCACTGACATAATGTGAAAGAAAACAGCGTGAGGAAACCTGGACTTATAGTTTCACAATTATAAGTTTGAATTCACCAACCCGTCTTGAGCAAGCGTGTTGATTAATGCTCAAACCTTCTCCATGTGAGAAGAGGCTATGCTCAGCAGCGGACTTCTAATAGGCTGATGACGACTTTTTTTATATATTGCTAGTATTTTGTGATTTCAAAAAAAAAGATTTTGTTAAAAAAAAACTTAAATATAAATGTTAAACAAACTCATAATTACGAGAAGTCGGGGAATTTATGGTTATTGGATTTTTTATGACCCAAATTGATTAGGTTGAACTTAGCTTTTCGAACCATTTTCCTTATTATTTAGTAAACTAGATAAGACAAAGTTCATAAACCTAATGAAGTAAAAGGAAAATATATAATAAATAAAGTATATTACAAAACATTACATAAGACTCACTAACATTTAAACGTCACATTTTATCACCAAAAATTATTTCGAAGATTTTAAAAGACCAAGACCCACGTATCGAGCCATTACTCGAAGATATGACGGATTTAGTTTTTTCCTCTTTTCTAGCAGAGATTTCAAGAGGCGTTCGGATGACTCGTCGAATGGCCTTTGATAATCTGATGCCTGAAACAAAGCACTAAATGAACCGTAAAAGTTTTTTACATTATAAAGATACGCCGCATTGTAATATTTGCTGACATTCATTCAAAATTCCAAACAACAATTATGAATCAACAGTTGTAGAGCTGTCAAGTGTCAAACCCATTAAGCCTAATAGCAAATGTCATTAAAAAAATCAACATACATACGAATGTTTTAGTTATTTTTTGTTATCAAAATATTCTTACGGTAGTTTTAGCTATCCAATAAAGCTCCTCTAAAAGTGCATCTTGATTTTCTACCGACGCCGGTACATATGATATTCCTTCGAACTGCTGAAATAAAAATATATCAATTAGGATTATGGTTTAAAATATCAATTAATTAAATGAGAAATCTAAACCTGTGATAGTCTGTTTAACTTTTCTCCCTCTATAACTTCGATTTCCATATCAAGTTCCGAGGATTTTGTGATTCTACTGACGGCTATGCCTTGCAGTATAAGTGGTCGATATCTCAAGACGCTTGAAGTATCCTTTTTATTTGCTAATAGCAAAACCAAAAACGCTTGCCGTGGCGTTATATCAGTCTTCCAATTTCTCATCTAAAATAAGTTTTATTTTAGATAGATACAAATGGTTCTATTAACTCAAGTTAAACATAGTTCTATCTATACAAAGCTTTAATAGCTAAAGTATAGTGCGTTTTATTTAAGCTCAGCTTTGCATTTGTGTGAATGTACACAGATAGTGTAGGTGTGATGTCAAATTTTTGAATGCCACGTTCTTTTCTAGTTTTGAACCGGTTTATACTGCTTTTACTCCGCCCCGGACCTTCCTCACTTCACCTTTTGTACTGATAGCAATATCAAATGTTGAAAACGCAATGTCAAGTGAATAAGAATTTGTATATTTTTTCAAAATTCTTATTAATCAATAATTTTTTTCCATAATATTTATAATATTTACATCTGGACTTTTACAAGTTTTGATTATTTTATATCACTTATGTTATGTATTTATTTAAAATATAATAAAATGTAATACTAAAAGTTTTTTTCTAACTCTACTTTTACTTTCACTGAAACAAATGCAAAGCTCAGCTTAAGTCTAACGGACTATACAACAACTATTAACTTCTTTATGAAGATTTTTTTATCGTGTTATATTAACTAGTCTGTCTTACCTATATTTTTAATAGTATCGTGGATCTTATTACCTCTTTTAGAGATGACATTATTTTCTGTTCCATATTCCCATCAACGACTGAGGTGAAAATTTTGGACAAGCCCAACGTTTGTAGGAATTCTTCACAATTAGTTATTTTGTCAATGGATATGGATTGTTTATAATTTGATAGATTCGACATTGATTTACATTTCTTATACAGTTTCACAAAGCCTTTTTTCTTACTCTTATTATAAGGACGTATTTCTGAACTTTTATTCTTCTTTTGGTATAAATTAGCCTTAGATTTGTTCGTGTAAATATCTAATACTTTGGGAACAGTATTGGTTTGAGAATTAATAACACAATTTTTATTGAACTTGATGCTATTTTCAGAGCTAGTATTTTTAGAATGATTTGGAATATTCGCAATTAATATATTTACGGGAGTTTGGCAATTTTCGAATTCGATGCTAATGGCAATGTTTTTATTCAAACAGAGTACTTTAAAGGAATTTATTACCAGTAGGGTGTTTTTAACCATCGTCAAAGCTTTCGTGTATATCAGACTTTCAATGTAAGATTTAATGTTAAATCTCTCATATGCTGGAACAACTTGATTGTGAGGGTTGTATATTTGTAACGCCATACAAATTACTCTTTGAGGTATTATTGAACAACTTTGTAAGACAACTTCAGGTATATCATGTTTTAATTCTAGCAGTGGTGATGGCTCCGATTTAAAATTCACTATTTCCATAGGCTTCATATTAAATAATAAGTCAGTTCTAGGCTCGGAAAGCATGAGAGAAATTTGCTTAGGAAATTCCAGGCTATCGGATCTCGTCAATTCAGTTATTGTTGACAAATTCGACTCGACTTTAGCGACCTTAATTTTTGGTAAAGCCAATTTTGTATTAGACGTAATTATTTTGTTCATAATCATTGGTAAAATACTGCAGAGTTCGGCTGGTAAGAAGGCATTTATGATAGTCGTTTTGGATTTGAATATTTTTGTCTGGTCATCGGTGATAGCAACAGGAATACAAGAAAGGGATTGTTTAACTTGTAGACTTTGACAAGTATCGACTGGTAGTTGGACGTCGAACTTTACAACGACATTTGTAACGCAATTCTTTACAACTATTTGTTTTTGGTTATACGTCTCAATTTCTAAATCGTTTGGAGCGGCATCAAAGCCAGGTAAAGGAATTAATGAGTCGCAGCAATTGTTATCTTGAATATTGCTTTTTTGTATAATATCCACTTCAGTGATTGGATAAAAATTTGAATTTAAATTGTGGCCGTCCGTCTGCGACGAATCATCTATAGTGACTAAAATAAATAAGTGAACTGAAATTTAAACTATGAGATCTTATTAATACAGCAGAAATATACTTACTATTCTGATTTTTACACTGGCAGTGTTCTTCGTGTGTGTAATAAACTCCATTCTTAATCTTCTTGAAGATATTGTCAATAAAATCACTCGCCCATTTCCCTTCAACCCAGGAGTGTTTTACTGGAGATAAAGATTTTACCGTTTCTCTTTGTTGTGTTAGATTTTTTTGGAAGTTTATTTGGTGATTGTTATCAAAATCTTCAAAATTAATCTTTTTGTGATCTTCTCTTACAGGTAAATTAGGTTTGTTGTAATGTATTTCATCGTTTAAAGGAACTTTTTCGACATTTTTGGTCCGGTTAAAAGTTTTAACATTTTGTCTCGGAGGGTTGAAGTGAACGTCTCTGGATGTTATCAAAAATTGTGGTTTTGGAATAATGTGATGACTGATGTCAGTTTGGGACGAATTTTCTTTTTTACCTGAAAAAAAAATGTATAAAAATAATATTGATCGAATCAACCAAATTATTTGAGTGTGGTGGCCTGGTGCTGGCCTAGAGGTTAAAGGCTCGTCTCTCATGTATGAGGGCTCGGGATCGAAACCTGGCAAGCACCAATGTGATTTTTCGAATCATATTATATACTTTCTAAGACATGACTAACAGACGTTGAAGGAAAACATCGTGAGCAAACCTGGACTTATAATTTCAAATTATATATTTGAAATTGCAGTCCCGTCTTGAACAAGCATGGTGATTAATGTTCAAACTTTCTCCATTTGAGGAGAGGCCTTTGCTCAGGAGTTAGCTTTGATGATGATGATAAACCAAATTAAAAAAATAAACATACCCAATTTATATTTAACCGGTGGCTTATCTTCATGACTGTAATAGACTCCGCTCCTTATTTTTCTGATCACGCTGTCAATAAAATCGCTCGCCCATTTTCCTTTTGCCCAGTACCGTTTGGATGAAGAATTCTTTCTTAATTCTGTCATATCTTTTATTGAATTCGTATTTTCCGAAGTATCATATTCTATCTGAGTATTAGTTCCAACTTCTACGACAGCGTTTTCCGCTATTGTGCTATCACAAGCACCTTTATCTATAACATCTTGATGTTTCTTATACAGTAAGTGCATCATTTTATCTTTGAGCTGACGTTTTTGTTTAATATCAGTGTCAAGAGTATTTATTGCATTTTTTTCTAAGTCACTTGTCTCGTCCTTTGTTTTTATTTTGTGTGATATAGCATTAGAATTGCTTTTAGCTTTGTTAATTTTATTCTCACTATTGTTCACTGCTTTTATTTTTCCTCCACTTGCGAGTTTCCCTCGCTTTGTCTTAATGGGAGAGGTTTCAGTAATAAGCGGTGCTGTATTTTCTTGTTCAGAGGGTTTAGGTATTGGGGCTGCTACAATATATGTTATATCTGAATTTTTGCCCTCATCATAATCTAGTTCTTGACTGACATTGTTTCCTTTGCTAACAACTACCTTCGTGATGCCACTTATTTGTTGTTTTGTCTTCTTACGCTGTCTATAATCCTCTATAAAGAAATATTTGACTTTATTAACATATATTTGATTATATTATATATATACAGGGTGACTGGTGAATTACTATCAATATTTAAGGAGCATACTCGGTACATGATTCTCATTCGAATTATGTAAAAAAAATAGGCACTTAATTTTTGACAAAATTTCCGTATAAATAAGTAAAGTGTTGACACGTTCCAAGTGTTCAAGTGTGGACGCGTGCGGCGACGTGTTGATACAACACTACGTCACGACATGCGTATGTGTGAGTGTCAGTGTATACCTAATCTGTAGGGTGTTCACACGATGCGTAATTAATTACATAACTTTTGGTTAACTTTACTTAGAAGTTTATTAATATTTATGTTATATTAATTTTTATTTTGTCATATATGATCGTCAAATATCACGTCCTCAAATATCGATAGTAATTCACCAGTCACCCTGTATAGATCTGTTTATTTTATTCGTACCTTTTTTACCCTGTTGTTCTTGCTTCACAAGGTCTACACTTTGTGGTAGATTTGTTTGATTTGAGTCATTGTACTCACAGAATTGATCATTATTTTCATTGCCTATAGAATATAATTTAACGCCGCTTGTGTCATTTTTTTGATCGTTTACAACAGCGCGAATGTCGTTCGTTGGGGCCTCATTTACCTGACGCTTATTGCTTTCGACATTGTTCACATTATTTGTAATAGATTTCAAATTTGTTTTTTTCGTAACTTTAGGCTTACTTTTCTTCTGGTTGGCCTTAGAAAACTTGGTTTTACAACTTTCAACACTCTTCTCAATTTCTTTACATATTTTTTGATAGTCTTCCTGTTTATCAATGACCGTTACTCGATCTAAGCTTGACTGTGAATGGCTATTGTCAACATAATTGGAGATGTAAGCGAATTCCTCTGTTCGGCATGTCTCAATTAACCTGTAAAATAATGTTTTAGAGACTAACTAATAATCAATAGTTTAATTGGCTGTTATATATTTACCTAGCGTCTCGGCAATTGTTTCTTTTTGACATCAAATTAGACCTCTTTATTGATACCATGCTGTCCTGTGACATTGGCGCTGATGGTACAAATTGAAACTGATTCATGTTCCTGAGCATCGCCCACACATCATGAGGTTTGACATCGGTCTTCTTAGGTTTACGTCGCGACTTTTTCTTACCATCACCGGGAAATCGGTTTATAAAGTCAGTTGAACTGCTATCTAAATCAACATTAAGCTGTGAACAGTAACGTGCGTCCCTGTCATAGATATCAATGTTTTTATTTTTGCTAAGTTTTCTATTATTTTGTACGGTTCTTTTTTTTCTAGTTTTTGGTTTACGTTCATCCTTATTTTCATTGAAATATTCGGACTCGGTCATATCACTGACAGTACACAGTTGTGGCACGGGTGTGGGCTCGTTTGGTAGAGTCAGTACAGACTTCTTGACTTTCTTATTACTACGTTTAAATTTGAATTCATCCGAGTTAGCTTTGTAGATATTAACAGCTAATGGATACGAGGAGACAAAATCCGTCTTCTTGTGGATTAGTTTCCTTTCGGTTACTCTTGAATGTAAATGTACTTTGTCTCCCGAAAGATATGGAGACGTCCTATTTGTAGAATCATTCTTGATACTAACTGAACTCCCACTCGCTTCGTACTCTACTTTCATAAGACATGAGTTTAAATTTGATGATTTAGAACATGTTGATTTAGGTTTTATTTTCTGACCCAATTTTTCATATACACTTATTGCCATCGTGTGTAATGTTAAATTATAAATCCATTTATAGCTATAGACCTGTTTGATAAACAAATTCTAAGTAATGAATTTCAGTTTCTTATTTTATGTTCACAATATCAATTAATTACATTTTAATATGTTTGTATAATTCGTTAAAAATATTCATACCTCAAATAATATCTAGTCGAGATTTGCAACACAATAATTTCGATATATATGACCAAATTATATATTAAAACAGTCCTACATCGAATTACAATTAAGTTTAACAGTAGGAAAAATTATTTTAGAAAATATAAAAAAAACTGTAACAAATAATCACGCCATAGATATATTATTCAAATAAAAAAATGTTGATTGACATTTAATTTCAATTGTTTTGCTTTTATTATTTGGATTTTCATGCTGGTTACGTATTCGTAACTTATAGAATTTATTGCATAAAATGTATTGATATATGCATTGATATATTCAAATATTAGATGCATTTTTGTACCTTTATTTATATCCATCTTTTACTTATGCCTATATAACTTTTAAGTAATATTATCCGACGAGATATCTCTTGTAGACTTAGTGTATATGTTAATAAGTGTTAAGTAATTTATTTCATCGGCGGAATTTGGATTAACTGTATAAAAAAATATAATATTGATCCGTATAATCTTGGAGCCATAGCCTAAGATAAACTTGACAAACAAGAAAATTCAATATCAAAATATAATTGTCATTTGTCAGTAGTCATTTCAAATCAGCTGCAAAGAAAAATAATAATATTAGATTAAGTTTTCATATTTTTTCCTGATATTGTTTAATATTTCATGCTATGAAAATCCTATTCAATTATTAAATAAAAATGAGTGCTGACGAAAAACCGCTTGATATAATACAATACGTCCCATTTACGTCTTTCGTGCACCCATCATTTTGGCACAGTTTAACAGATTTAAAACTTAATGTTGATAAACTAAACGAAACAACAAAACAAATTCATGGCAGTTTTTCATACAGCGATGATATCGGAACGGTCTTCGAGGTTGATGGAACATCTTTTAACAAGTAAGTTGTATGATTAGAAGATTAGTTAAAAGGCTTTGCTTGACTATAAGCGATTTATTATGTTAACTATCTATATTAATTGATTAAATTATTCACGTAAAGGAACCCAGAATGTGGGTTGCACTACATAAATGTTACTGGGACTCTTCTGAATAAGAACACCATTGAAGATTTCAAGTCCATTGATAAAACTGCACTTCTCAATAGTGTCGGGGAAATGATTTGGTCAAACGTTAAAATGCTGTCATGGATTAAAACTCCAAGCAGTTTATTGAACTGTTTCATTCTATCCTTTGCTGTAAGTTATCAAATAATACTTTTATAAATATAAAAACCATTTTCTTATATATTTTTGTTAAAATTGTTTACTTTCACAGGATCTAAAGAAGTTTCATTACTATTATTGGTTTGCATTTCCCTCTCCCAGCCAACCAACAGTTTGTTTGAAAGAGAAAAGTCAGAATATTAGTGCAGTTTTTAGCAAAAAGGAGATTCAAGATATATCAGAGAGATTTCAATCTTTGGAACTCAATCAGAAATGTTATTTCATTGTCCTAAGACAGAAAGACAAGGTGGTAGTTAAGACTCTACATGAATTTTTCAATAATAAATCCAAAGAGGATATTATTGTTGATAACGATGTATTTTTTGCCTTTGCCGACCCTAGTAATAATTCCAATCCTGGCTGGTCACTAAGAATATTCCTTGCAGCTTTATATGAATGTTTTCCAACTCTTATAAAGCAATGCCTACAAGTTATTGGTATCAGATGTTCGAGGGATGGATCAGTAGAAAAAAGCCTAATGTTCATGATTGAAGCACATAAGGCGAGTACTTTATGAATAAATATGATATAATGGAATTTTATATTTTACTAGTAAACAATTTATATGTAATATACTACAAGAGATTTTGTTTACTTAACCCAGTAATAATTTTTTTTAGGATACTCAAACAGGAGGAAATGTTAATTGGTTAGGCTGGGAGAGAAATGATAGAGGAAATTTTGGACCAAAACTTGCTAATATGTCAGCTTCAATGGATCCAATCAAGTAATTTTTAATAATACTCAATATATGTAATACTAGTAACTCACAGTTTCGACTATCTAGTAAACACTATTATTTTGACTGACACATAAAAAGGTCAATAATACTTTACTTATACCATTTAATACTATAAAATTGGCTATACTTTATGTAAATGAAAAGTCTCTCTTTGGATTGTGTAAATATTTTTAATTTTTGATGTTATACCCATAAAAGTCCATTAAATGAAATTAATTGTATCATATTATTATTGGTAACATTATAAAATATTTTAATTTTTATGAATACATCATTGTTTAATAAATCAAATAAACTTATTTTAAATAAATAATATAATATAACTGAAACATTACTTATGAGGTATTAATTAAGGGCTTGTAAATTTTAGATTAGCAGAAACATCGTCTGATCTCAACATAAAGCTGATGCAGTGGAGACTCGTCCCCGACTTGGATGTGGACATTATGAAAAACACTAAATGTCTTCTATTGGGAGCAGGAACACTTGGTTGTCATGTCGCAAGGGATTTATTGGTGAGTAAATTAATAAAAAAATCTTTAATATATATAAATACAGTGTAAACTCTATATAACGACACTGAAGGGACTGTGCATTTTATGGCGTTATAGAGAGTTGTCGTTAAATAGAGAGAAGAAAAATCAGAATTAGAAAAAGACAAAGTTTATTTCAGACTAGTGTTAGTATTTATGTACATAAAAAGAATGTTATTCGAACGTTATTGCGTATAGTCTGTTTTTTTTGTGTGACGTCTTTTGCTGCACCAGTAATATTGTTGTATTTTTTTACTCATTTTATTCATTTCTTGCGATATTGAGGCATCTTGGTGATAAAGGAAATAATTTTCCAATAATTTAGCTGCTTCCAAAGCTTTTTTAATGCTCGGCGGATGCTCAGGTACATTCGTATCAACACTTCGTGCTTCCCCACTAATTTTACCATAGTTGATATGATGACGTTGCTTGAATTTTCCGAGCCATCCTTCCGATGCTTTGAAAGAAGTTAATCCAAGTTTTTCAGCAAAATTCTTCGCCTTAGCTTTCACGAGTGGCCCCGAGATAGGCATATTATTCTGACGCTGTCGGTGAAACCATGGTAGTATAGCTTGATCCAAATCTTCGTATTTAGGTTTCTTTAATTTTTTGGAAGATTTCCCCTTGCCCTCAGCTTGGAGAATTTTTTCTTTATTTTTCCATATTGTAGACACGGTAGAGCGACTAAATCCAAAGCGTTTGCCAACATCGCTTATCTTCTCTCCCGTTTCAATTGCACGTATCAGTAAAACTTTTTCGTCAACACCCAGTGATTTTCTTTTACTAGCCATGTTTACAGTTTGAGATTTTGTGAGCAACTGAGAATATGATAACGTATAGGTAATACAAGACTCCTACTTATGGTCAAAAACCGTCGACACGTGTAAGCTATCCCAATTTGTAAACAAAAGAACGAATTTCTTAGAAAGTTCGGTATGCATGATTCCGACAGTCGAGTTTATTGCGGGCTAGGATAACAAAGTGACAAAAGACCTTACACAGCTGCGCAGTTTTTACTAATTTTAGCAACTTAAAAGGTACTTTTTATTGCTTAATTGTTGTCGTTATTAAGAGTGGGTGTGATACTATGTAGAATGTATCATTGTATGGTAGACAAGCTAAACCAACCAAAGTCCAATGATTTCGACGCTTTAGAGACATTGTCGTTAAATCGAGTGACGTTACATGTAGTTTACACTGTATATTTATTAAGCACATTGAAGTAATTTACTAACAACATTTAACATGAGTGCATTAATTGTTATGAAGCAATTCTATCAGAAGTAGAAAATGATTATGCTTACATATAAACATTTCTGTAGAGCTTTATACAAATATTATATTTTATTATTCCAGTTACAAACATTGGTATCTATTTAAATTCATTATATCAGAATCAAACACAACATATTTTCCACTTTTCAAAAAATGTATTAAAGAATTATTTGAGAAACATTTGTGAAATAAATAACATTTATTGATGAAACTATTCATACAACAAAATTGAATTTTCATCTGATTTATAATGCTTATACTAGTTTTTCCATGCTTTATTACATTCCTGTTGCATAGAAATTAAGGTAATTCAAGAGGTTTTAATACAAAAGTAATCAAATCACTATTTATATTTTTCCTTCTTCCCACAAGAAAATATTATTGATATGAATCTAATAAAGAAATCTGAACTTTAGATTTTTAAGTGTGTTTATTTTGTCTATTGGCATATTTAGATACTATTTTAAATACCATTTCAGTGATCAATTATTTAGGGCACTGTCAATAAATTTGTAGTATTTACATAATTTTTTTATATATTTTTTTATATAATATTTCCAGGCCTGGGGTTTCCGTCACATAACTTTCATAGACAATGGTAAAGTGTCTTATTCAAATCCCACACGCCAAGTTCTGTTTAATTTCCAAGACTGTGTCAATGGAAGCAGAAAATCTGAAGCAGCTGCCAAAAATATGAAACTAATATTACCAACTGTGGTAAGGATAATCAAAATATATTATAAATGAGAAAGTAAGTCTGTCCGTCTGTCTGTTACGCTTTCACGCCTAAACCACTGAACTGATTTTAATGAAATTTGGTACAGATAGAGTTGACCTTGAGAAAGAACATAGGATAGTTTTTATCAAAGACTTTTGAAAGGTTCTCTTGGAAACGCGATATAACCGAACTCGACGCGGGCGAAGCTGCGGGCGGAAAGCTAGTAGTCAAAATTCTTTTCATTATATTTGTGCAGAAAAAGACATCTTCTTTTTTGGTACAAATATGAAGTGCCGGACTATAAAAAAATATGCTATATTCCATTAGAATTATTTAAGAAACATTTGTGAGATAAATAACATTTATTGATGAAACTATTCATACAACAAAATTGAATTTTTATCTGATTTATAATGCTTATACTAGTTTTTCCATGCTATATTAGATTCTTGTTGCATAGAAATTAAGGTAATTCAAGAGGTTTTAATACAAAAAGTATGTAACCAAATCATTATTTATATTATTCCTTCTTCCCACCTGAGCATTTATTACTATGACACCAAAGCCAGGTCATTGTACTTGGTTTTATTGATGTTAAAAAATTTAACATCCTCATACATTTTCAATATTTCAGTCAATATTTTTTTCTTAAATACTATTAGCAATTATTTCATCATTTAGCTCATTCAACTTTTAATTAATTCCTATGTAGTAAGGAATAGAAAACTTTTGTTATTTATTTATTGAGAAACTTTTACAAATACATATTTATGATGAGACAAAGTCAAAGACATGCATGGAGATTTGGAGTAGGTTAAGCAGAATATGTTTGAAAAAACAAATACGAATTTTCATCAAAAAACATTGATACTAATAAGATCTTTCGCAAGTATTCATTTAAATGAAATTAATATATTCGAATTACTACACGAAAATTATAATTTTTAACGGGCAGACGAGATGTCTGCCGTGATGCCGTTGTCGCAAAGTAATCGAAACGTCGGGAGTGTTTAGTTTTTAAAAATAATAAAACGAACGAACTGTTACATATCCCCAAATGCACCCTTTTCTGCTGACTCTATAGATCATTCCTGCCTCATCAGCATTCCTTCTCCTTGCCCCCGCTCAGCCATCCATCACACATTTCAGTCTCAATCCATCATCCATTAAAAACGGTCGTGTCTATTTTTCACACTAAATCTTTTTTTTAAAAACCCTTCAACCCTGAGGCTCATAACATTTTGGTGGCAGCGTAAAGGGATTCAAAGAGTCCCCGGAAACGTCTCTTCATTATTGAAAGTGTTAAATTCAGTGAAAAAGTGATAATTGTGAAAAGGACTCTCATATATATAAACTATTTCTACATCCTGGCAATTTAAATTACAAAATATTGAATAAAATATTCAATTTTTGCCAATAAAAGATAATAAATATACTCAATTCACCGAATTCGACGCGTCGAGAAACATAGCTCCGGTATTTGTTGAAGAATTCAAGAAACATGATCCTGCCTGTTATCGCTCTGTAAGTGAAAGCCTTATCTCTTGGTCATTGTCTTAATATTATACTCTATTATTGTTCAAACCTTTATATTAGTGATTTGTCTAGTTGTATTGCATTTTATATAGTGCTTTATACTGTCTGTTTGTATTTTATATTGTATTTAGAATTTCTTTTTGTTGTTTTGTCGTACTGTAAAATATTTTCTGTGTTTTGGGTGTATAAAAAATGGCCGAAAGTAGATCACAAAGCCCAAAAAATGAAAGACCGGAAATAGCTGTAACTGACACAGAGGACGATAGGGAAAGTCTTTGCCCCCCTCCTTCAGGACCATCAACTAGGTCCACGTCCAAAAGAAAAACACCGGTAACTAAACCCGAATTAGAGCTCTCAATCCTACTAAAATTTATTAAGCCCTATGATGGCCGGAGGGATACATTAAACTCATTTATAATTAATTGTAATAACGCGTATGAATTAGCATCAGAAACCCAGAAAGATATCCTTTTCAAATTTATACTATGTCAATTAGAAGGGAAAGCTGAAACCGCCTGCTCCATCAAGGAATTCACTAATTGGCAACAATTGAAAGAATTCCTTAAAACCCAATTCAGTGTCCGTAAACATTACGCTCACCTATTAACCGAACTGCAAGAATGCAAACAGAAATCAAATGAACCAGTCAGTCAATATGCCCTAAGAGTAGAAACTTGCCTTTCATCGTTACTAACAGAAATTTCGATCACACATGGAAACAAAAGCCGAGAAATGATAGGACGCACAGCAGCAATGGAAGAATTAGCCCTCCATCACTTCCAGATGGGGTTGACACCGCGTATCTCGAACATAGTACGATGTAAATCAGTTAAAACCTTAAATGACGCAATAAACGCAGCTATCAGTGAAGAAAAAATTCAGCAAACTCTTAGTAAAAACATAACTTACAACACAACCGATAACATCCGTCTTAATAAATTTTATAACTTTAAAACAAATGTTCAAAACAACAATAGAATTCCAAATCGTCACTATGTTTCCTACCCAAATCAAACAACTTCAAATCTTAATCGCCAGCATAATTTAAATGATCCCAAAAACATAATTTGTAGATACTGCAAATCTCCCGGGCACACCCTGGAACAATGCCGCAAACGTAAATTTAATAACCAACGGTTCAGAAATCACCAACAAACCCAAAATATAAGAATTCCCATTCAAACTATGCCTAATATGAATTTTATAACTGAAGAATTTAATGACGAAATACCTAATGAAGATCTTAATGATGAAAAAGGTTACGATACTGTGGATACTTTACCAAAAAACGAGTAAGAGTCTCGTCCCTGTGCCGAACGGGACTGCACAAGCCAAAAATCGGCACCCCAAAATCTAAACCGATTCCGCTACATGGCAATCCGAATACAATCTCACCGGCATCGTTATATGATTCGCCAAAATCCACTGTATCCGTGCAGCAACAGCAAAATGTTCGTCTGCCAAAATCCACTGTATCCGTGCAGCAACAGCAAAATGTTCGTCTGCCAAAATCCACTGTATCCGTGCAGCAACAGCAAAATGTTCGTCTGCCAAAATCCACTGTATCCGTGCAGCAACAGCAAAATGTTCGTCTGCCAAAGTCCACTGTATCCGTGCAGCAACAGCAAAATGTTGATCTGCCAAAATCCTCTGTATCCGTTTCTCATAATGAAACAAAAATCTTCGAGATCACGACAGATCCAACTAAAGTACTTCTCCCTCATGTCATTATCAATTCATCCATTTCTGAAATTCCTTTAACTTTGCTGATAGACTCTGGCTCAGCAATTAGTTTAATTAAATCCTCTTGTATTCAGAAACCTGTAAAATTAATAAAAGAACAAATAGATTTGAAAGGGATTGAACCCGATAAAAGCTCTACAAAAACTTGTGGTCATTTTCCCTTAAAATTATATTTATCCGACTCTTTAAACAAATATGTGAGTCATAAATTTCATGTTATAAATAAAATACATTTACCTTATGACGGGATCATTGGAACAGACATGCTCAATTCATTCGGTTCCAATATTAATTATACTACAAATAAACTCCAAATAAATGGAATTCAAATACCGATGTATTTTAATGAACCAATCTATACTATACCTGCTAGATCCGAAATGATCATAGAATGCTCTGTTTCAAACCCCGAAATAAAAGAAGGGCTCATATTAGATCAAAACCAATTCAAGGACATCCTTATAGCTAACTGTCTAGTGAAAGTAAAAGATAACAATAGGATTAATATATCCGTTGTCAATTTATCTGAAAATCCTAGATCACTTAATTCCAATCTATTCTTAACCCTAATTTCAACCAACTCCAACACTATTACAGAAAATAGGTCCCCTGAATATTCTATAAATACCGTACAATCTTATGACTCACTTACACGTACCCAGGAAGTTCTAAATCAATTAAGAACTTCACATTTAAATAACGAAGAAGCCAATGCTCTCTTCGAGATTTGCTCGAATTACTCAGATATCTTTTATTTATCTGGAGATCCCTTATCTTTTACCAACACGCTGGAACATGAAATCAATACAACTAACAATGAGCCAATACACGTAAAGTCCTATCGTTTTCCTGAATGTCACAAACAAGAAGTTCAAAATCAAGTTAACAAAATGTTAAAAGACGGAATCATAAAACCTTCTATGTCCCCGTGGTCTGCTCCCATTTGGGTTGTTCCAAAGAAGCTAGATGCTTCTGGACAGCGGAAATGGAGAGTTGTTATTGATTACAGACGCCTCAACGATGTTACAATTGGAGATTCATACCCAATACCTAACATTAACGAAATACTAGATCAACTGGGTAAATCCAAATATTTCTCAACTCTCGATCTAGCATCCGGATTTCATCAAATTAAAATGGCATCAAAAGATGCAGCAAAAACAGCATTTAATGTTCCTCAAGGACATTTCGAATTTCAACGGATGCCTTTTGGTTTAAAAAATGCACCATCTACATTCCAAAGACTAATGAACACAGTCCTCACAGGACTCCAAGGCACCAGATGTTTTGTCTATTTAGATGACATAGTAATATATTCGTATGACCTCAATTCACATATTAAAAATCTTGAGTTAATATTTAACCGTCTCAGAAAACACAATCTCAAACTTCAGCCTGACAAATGCGAGTTTCTTAGAAAAGAAGTTTCTTATCTTGGTCATCTTATTACAGATAAAGGTGTGAAACCTGACCCTGAAAAAATCAAAGCTGTGTCTAGTTTTCCAACTCCAAAATGTCCTAAAGATGTCAAATCATTCCTAGGCCTAATGTCGTATTATAGAAAGTTTATTCCCGATTTTTCACAAACAGCCAAACCATTAACAACGCTTTTAAAGAAAGATATTTCCTTTATTTGGCATAATGAACACCAACTAGCCTTCGAAAACCTAAAATCCCGTCTTATTTCACCTCCTCTTCTTATATACCCAGATTTTACAAAACCATTCACACTCACATGTGATGCTTCTAATTATGCTATCAGCGCCATCCTCTCCCAAGGAGATCCGAATAAAGAACAACCAATAGCTTATGCCTCTCGAACTCTTAATAAAAACGAAATTAATTACAACACTACTGAAAAGGAATTATTAGCCATTTTATTTGGATGTAAAACCTTTCGACCCTACCTTTATGGTCATAAATTCATAATAATTACAGACCACAGACCTTTAAAATGGTTATTTAACCATAAAGATCCAGGAAGTAAGCTACAACGGTGGCGTCTAAAGTTAGAAGAATTTGATTATGACATTCAATACCGCAAAGGAAAATTAAATTCTGCCGCAGATGCTCTTTCGAGATATCCCGTGAATCCTGTATATCCTGAAAATAATACAAACCCTATACAACAACAACAAAATCAAAATTCACCCGACATCATGGATGAATTACAAAGTCTTTTAATGTCCCCACCTTCTGCTGTTGAAAACCTTCTTAACCCTGAAATGGAACAAGAAGTTTTAGATTATTTTAGTTCTCTCAATAACGATACACCTGTCAATGTCGAACCTGATCCACAACCTTCAACTAACAGCCAAAATCTTGACACTTTACCAGTATCTACGAATCGTAGACCTCAACAATCCTTACCGTCTAAAAATCTACATTCTCCTAACGAAAACTTACCTCTACCCGCTGAATCTAATTCCAAAACAATTCAATCCACTGAAAACCAGGATAAATCGCCTGACGATGACTATAGTCATTTTCTTAAGTCCCCTACAAGAACATATAATACCACGATTAAAGAACACAATGAAAGCTTACTAAAATGCACACAAAATTTAATAATAATACCAACTTCGATAGACTTAGATGAATCTATGCCTTATGTACAAGAAGTACTTGATAATTGCCCCGAAAGTACTCGCGACGAATTCTTGAAACTGGAAAGAGACTTATTCACTTCATTACCTCTCACATTCGATAATAAACACTATCTCTTCTTATTTACTAAAGTACATCACTTTGACAAATTTTCTTATCCAGATATATACAAATCCTTAAAATTCTCCCGCGACCAAATATTGATGACTTACCCAACAATCAACGACGTCGGCATATCAGATTTTAAAAATCCATTCGATAAACATTCTGTTGTAAAAATATATAATATGTTAGGCTACTTATTCGACGGAACTAACATCAAAATCCATATTTACCATGATAATATAATTTACCCTTCCCCTAGTGAAATACCAAAAATCCTTAAAGAAAATCATGACCTTCCTATCGCAGGTCATTTAGGTAACCTTAGAATGTATAACCGTATACGTGAACGATTTTATTGGAAAAATATGAGAAACGATGTTGAAAATTATATCCGTAAATGTCAGTCATGCCAATCCAATAAAGCCTTACGTCGAACAAACCGAGCGCCTATGATAATAACATCGACCTCCACAAGTCCTTTCGAAAAACTCTCAATGGATATCGTAGGTCCCTTACCTGAATCTGGTACTGCTCGACTCAAATTTATTTTAACAATGCAGGACGATCTTACTAAATATTCCTTAGCATATCCTATCCGTTGTAATACTGCAGAAGAATCCAGTGAATGCCTCGTACACTTCATATCTATGTTTGGTATTCCCAAACATATACTCACGGATCAAGGAACCAATTTCACAGCGGAACTATTCAAGAAGACATGTGAATTCCTTAAAATTAAACAGTTGTGGTCGTCGCCATATCATCCGCAAACACAAGGCGCCTTAGAGAGGTCACACTCTACCCTAAAAGAATATCTAAAAACATACGTCAATGAAAATCAAGACAATTGGCCTCGTTATGTATACACCGCGATGTTAGCCTACAATACCTCAATTCATTCCACAACACATTATTCTCCTTATGAATTATTATTTGGACATAAACCACGAATTCCAGACTCTTTATATGACGACAACTCTACGGTAACTTATCCTGAATATGTTAAAATGCTTCAGCATAGAATGAAACACTCTCGTGAAAAAGCTCTTGAATTTATACACAAATCTAAACTAAGATCCAAAACTTATTACGACTCTCACAGTCGTCCAGCAACTTACAAAGTAGGCGATTACGTTATGTTAAAAAACCATCTCAGGCTGCGAAAAGCCTTATCACCCTTGTGGAAAGGCCCATACAAAGTGGTCAAAATACACGGGAATCATACTTTATCATTACTAATAAATAGACGACATGTAAGACATCATTACGATGAAGTCAAACACGTTGATGTTCAAATATCCCCTTCTACTTAAAATATTATTTTTATTCTTTTTTGTATAGACTAAGTTATATTCAATAATTATTATTATGAATAAATAATTTTAATGTATCTCTTATTACAGCATTCTGGCTCAAGGTTATTGTCAAGAGTATGTTCACGAAATCAACTCGAGTCCTGGCATATATTTTGACCAAATCGGCGAACTTAAAATTAATATAGGTCATTTAGACATTGTAACCCCGATAGACATTTCTCATATTGAAACTCATATTAAAAACATTAATTCCATTTTAAATACAACTCGCCACTTATGTAAACAATTTATAAGCGAAACTTCGAATAATAATTTGGAATGTAACAATGTTCTAGAACCACTTACAATTAGATACAATGATATGGTTTCCGAATATTCTTCTATTACCCATTTAATAAGTAATAAAAGAGTTAAACGAGCCTGGATAGGAGGCGTCGGAACCTTGGCAAAAACAATTTTTGGGACTTTAGATGAAAACGATGCTATTATATATGATAATGCCATTCGAAACATCCAAGACAACGAAAAGAGAATAACATCTTTAATTAAGCAAAATGTATTAATTACTACTTCTTCTCTAAGTGTATTTAACGATACTTTACATAGAATTAAGCTTAATCAAATTGTACTCAATGAAGCTATCAACAAATTCTCTATTTCTTTAAATAATATTACTACTCTTTCAAATATTTTTGATATAGAAAATAATATTCATTCTATCCTCAATAGCTTAGAAGCATCAATTCTCACCTTATCATTTCAAATACAAGACATAACAAATGCAATTGTTCTCACTAGCAAAAACATTCTTCATCCATCAATTCTGCGTCCATCGCAATTATACCAGGAACTTGTTGATAACTACAGGTACTTACGCGTAGATTATAAATTACCTGTAAGCTTAACGATAAGTCAAATTCATGTATTAATGAATATTTCTAATGTAGTTTGTTATAGTTTAAATAATAAAATTATGTTTGTTTTAAGATTACCTCTAGTTTCCCCTAAGGAATATAATCTATTTCATACAATTGCTTTGCCTACTCCTTATCAAAATGTAAATCCAAATTCTTTTAGTTTTATAATACCAAATACGAAATATGTAGCAATGACCAAGGATAAGTCAGAATACTGCAACCTAGAATCACTCAAAGAGTGTAAAGCGATAAATCACCGTGAATTCATCTGTGACGTGATGACTGTGTTCTCTACGAGTGCAAACCCCAGTTGTGAAAGTGAAATTATGTCCAAAGTTGTTAATTCCCTGCCAAAACAGTGTAAAACGCAATTTATTTACGGAAATATTGACCTGTGGAAACCGCTCTCTAATAATAATTGGATTTTTGTGCAGTCGCAAGCTAATAAACTTTATATAGAATGTCAAGATAAAAATATAATTGAAATAAATATTATGGGAACAGGTATTTTAAATGTTCCTATCAATTGTGTGGCATATTGTAAATCTACTAAATTGATACCCAAATTTAATAATTTTGCAATTAATGTAACCTCCATAACATCCGATTTTAATATAATTAATGACTCTTGCTGTATTCTAGACAACTTTAGATTTAAGATTAAGAAAGAGTCTCCTATCGAATTAAATAACATTGACCTTGATATCTTTACAAAAGAATCGAAATCTAAATTAAATTCAATTTCATCTGAGGCAGATAAAATTTTAGATCAACATCCTATAATTCAATATGAGACTCATTATTCTATTTTGTTAATAATTATAATTTGTATCATTCTTTTATTTTGTATTTCTAAACTTTATCTTTATATTAAATCGACTGGCCGTTTTCCTTTTGCTTTCCTGAGACCTTCCATACCCGTTCCAGAAGACTCATCAACCCCACCAGCAGAAATACCTACCCCTGAAATAATCTCTTCTACCAGAAACAACGATAGTCGTTCTGAATCCAGAGATATCCCAGCTCCTTCTTTAAGAAGAAATATATAGTTCTCCTTCTCTTTTCCCTAAACATCGTATTTCAACCCCGATGTTTAGTCTTCCCCGGGGAGCTGTTACATATCCCCAAATGCACCCTTTTCTGCTGACTCTATAGATCATTCCTGCCTCATCAGCATTCCTTCTCCTTGCCCCCGCTCAGCCATCCATCACACATTTCAGTCTCAATCCATCATCCATTAAAAACGGTCGTGTCTATTTTTCACACTAAATCTTTTTTTTAAAAACCCTTCAACCCTGAGGCTCATAACAGAACGATAAAAACGAACATATGTATATGTTTTATGAATCTCTCAACTATATCTGAGCCACGAAAGTGTTTTAAAACGATTACGATCTGTTCATCGAGTTATTTAAATCGGAATATCCAGTATAGATCCAAACATTCTTATTATAACTCTCAGACACACCATCCCTTTAATGTAATAATTTTAATTATACAATTATTGTAATTATTTAAACAAACGACAACGACCAATTCAAAATTCAAACAACATTTGAAAATGTACTGTACGTAATTAATTTCGTTAAACACATCACCAGTTATTATTTTCCATAATTCGTTAATAAATTAAATCCGTATTTACTAAAGAGCTACTTCTTTAATTAGTGGCGTTTCCTTATAGATTTTGCCAATGTCGTGTAACGATATTGTACTGAACTATGTAAAGAGGGATTTATGAGTGAACAAGGTCGCGACTAGAAGCTAAGAGCTAGGATGATGTTGAGGTCGTTCAGTGAAAGAACTATTTAAGACTTATTTTATTGCGCTTAGAAAGACACATTCAATAATTACAAAATTACTGACCAATCCCGTTTTATTGTAAATCAGCGCGCTTTCTATGACTTTTTGCAATTAAAAAAGGAAGCAATGTCTTTCGAACACAACATATGCCTAGGTTTTACACACACACATACAAACATTTTCTGCATACAACACAAGATTTGTAGATCATCCTTGAGATTCTTTGTACATATAGAAAATAAGCACCGAGTAGTTGTGCATACCGCCGCTCTGGCTGCATAGCGGCGCTAGCAGTTAACGATTGAAATGTTCGTTTTATGTTTATAGATGGCACTTTTAACAAATCGTGAATTATATGCCATTTTAAATGTCTGTTAACATTCGTATTTCGTAATGTATGATTAAAAATATATAAGAATTAAACAATATAAGTTTAGTTGTTATATGGTTACTTATTTACATTTATGGTGTGCACGCTGCTGGATAAAGTAACATAGAAATGTTTGTAACTTTGTTATAATCGTTTTGTTCATTTAGATAAAAAAACGTATTTTATTTCTGTATTTTAATAAACCAGTCAAAACTAAGAGACAAAATCTCTCATTATTCCATGGATTCACTGTACGGGTGTCCATCGTATTGTAATTTGTAGGGAGAAAAGCTTTAACAGTGCCTGGGACTTGCGACCCAGGTGTAGGTTTAAGGGGCCCCTAACTAACGCGCGTTAAACCCTCACCTCCACTGTCCAAGCTCCTCTCTACCTAACCAAATTTTTTAACTATTTATTATATTTTCCAGCACACCGAAGGCTTAGTACTCCACATCCCCATGCCCGGTCATCCAATAGGAGAGGCTCTAATGAAGGAAACTATTCATAATATAGAAGTTCTCACGGAAGCTATTAGAAATCATGATGTAGTATTCTTACTACTTGACACGAGAGAAGCCAGGTGGTTACCAACACTTATAGCAGCTAGCTATGGAAAGGTTAATAAACATTATCACTATGAATTAATTAATATCAGAGTTCATTTTTATATATATGCTTATATGTTGTGTATTACTATAATTTTATATGATTATTATTCTAGAAATTATTTTAATGACTGGATATTTAAACGATATGTAAAAATTAGTCCAGCAATAGTAATTTTAAAGTTGTTTGTTTGTTATTTAAAATATGGCCATAGTATATTCTGCCAGACATTTTAAAGTCGTTAATAATTTAAAATTTCAAATGTTCCACAGATAGTAATAAACGCAGCTCTAGGCTTCGATAGTTACCTAGTGATGCGACACGGAGTGAGTAATGAACGAGTGAATGAAACTATTGAAGGAATCTCTAAAAATGATACACACGTCGACGGTGGACAACTGGGCTGTTACTTCTGTAATGATGTCACTGCGCCCGGAAACGTAAGACTTTTCAAATGGTTTGAATGAATGATATAATAATTGTTTTGAATGAATGATGTAATAATTGTTTTGAATGAATGATGTTATAATTGTTCTGAATAAATGACATAATAGTTTTAAATAATTGTTTTGAATGAATGATATAATATATATCTCACGGGATGGTACAGTGGTGATTCGCGTATGTGGGGCTCAGCCGATCAGCTAATTTTACAAATGAATTAATTAATTATTATATTTTAAGAATTTATGTATTATTATTTTTATTAACAATTTATGTATTTTTTTTTAAATGAGTCACTGTTACTTGAAATGGAAATAAATAAATAAATAATAATTATTATATTTTATTCCAGTCTCTCAAAGATCGTACGCTAGATCAACAATGCACTGTAACTAGACCGGGAGTCGCGGCCATTGCTGGTGCGTTAGCGGTTGAGCTATTAGTATCTATTCTGCAACATCCATTAAGGTTTGTATAAAGGTTTTATATATACAGCAGTCGATAAGCATCTTTAATATCTTTAGTTTTTTTATATCCAACATGATTGAGTGAAGCGATTGAAGGGAGGGGAATACACGGAGACGATCTCGGTAACCGTAATATGTCTGATCGAGTCGAGTTTTTTTGTTCTATAGTCCATATGGCTTATATAAAAAAAAAAAACAGATCGAACCACCTATTTAAATTTTAGAGATTGAAAACGAAACCAATGTCTAAAACCATGGATGGGTACCGAAACGTGGTCGCTTCACTCAACATGCACTGAGAGTATTTTTTCGACTGCAGCGAAAAAAAGCGTAGTTGCATCTCCTAATTTATTTATCCAATTTTTAATGTTAAATAAAACTGTAACAGGGTCCACGCTCCGGCATTACACAACTTGAATAGCGAAGAAAACTCTCAACATGAAGGCATACTCGGCCCAATACCTCATTCAATCAGAGGTTTCCTTCATTCATTCCAAACGGTTGTTCCGACGTGTTCGAAATTCAAACAGTGCATAGCATGTTCTGAAGTGGTCATAGACAAGTATAGAGAGGAAGGAATTGATTTTTTGATGAAGGTTTTCAACAGTGGAACCTTTTTGGAGGATGTGACTGGCCTATCTGAATTGCAATTAGCAGCTGAAATGACAGACGTTGGTATATAATTTATTAACCATTTCTGTATTTTAGTATATTTCTATTTAATTCTTTACTTTTTCAGGTACTTACATTCTCTGATGAAGATCAAGAAAATAGCAGCTAAGAAGTTTTATTGTCCCATTTTCTGTGTTATAGCACAAGCTTTGCCTTAAAGCAGATATATAATTGACAAGTTGTCTTAAATACTGATGGTGGCTGTCTTTAAGCATTTATTGTTAATATTAAGCATATTTAAATGGTAATATATTAAAGTCAAACTTTTTTTATATTATCTCAAATTATGGATTCTCATTAAAGAAAATTATGGAACGCCAAAGGCTTGCATATGCTTACCATGTAGCTTTTAGATTATGATATATGTATATTGAAATTAAAATGTTTAATCATATAACATTTGTTCTTTTGATTTATTATCACTACTATTTCTTAATAATAAATTTATATTAGAAGCTCGGTTTCACTAAATATTATTCACTATATATTATTTAGTAATGATAGCTTCTCGAAAATGTTTTAGTTAAATGTATATAATCAAATAATAAACTTTATGTGTAAAATGGTTCCCTAAAACACTACATCATCTACTATATAAAAATAAGTCCGGTTTTCCTTCCCGACGCCATAACTCCAGAACACACGAACCGATTTCCACGGTTTTGCATTCATTGAAAAGGTCTTAGGCTCCGTGAGGTTTATAACAAAAAAATTCAGGAAAAATTTCAACAGGAAAATCTTTTTCACATACAGCGCCATCTCTGTTACATAAGATGTACTACAAATCAATATTATAAGTAGGTGGTGCCGGTGCATGATACATTGTTTGTAGTGTCCGACCAAATCTTCGGCTTCGGCCGGGTTTTGGGCCGAAGGTCCGAGCAACCGTCGGGATTGAACGAACTGTTATGAAAGACGAAGAAAGAAAATAAAATAGAATATTATTCTTATAACTTATTGTTGGCAAAACAGTCGTTACTTGATTATTTATAACTGTTGTTATTGTAACATTAATTTTGAATTTTCTAATATTTTCTAAACTGTGCATTTAATTGACCAACATTTAATTATTTATTAAGAAATTGGTGTTTGTTCATTTTATTTATTAGTCTAGTTTCGGCTTAGTCGAGTAAACAGACTGTTTAATTGGTCTGATGGTGATTATGAATTAGGTACTTAATAAATAAATGATTATTTTTTTAAGAATAAATCACAAACTCTTTCTATCATCTTTGAATCCACTTCCATATGAGACAGTCAATATAAACCTTCAATATTGAAGTTTCGAAATAATCTATAAAATTAATTGTACCTTGTAGACAGTATTGAACAAAATTACTAAGAGCTTATAAACCTTCGGCTTCAGCTTCTGCCGAAGATTTTGGCGATTGCCGATTAATCGGCTTCGGCTGAGAATAGACCTTCGGTCGGACACTAGTTGTTTGACATACTCATTGTTCTCTGCTCAGTTAATTTCATGTGAAAAACCGGTATTGCGTTTGTAGTTTAAACTCTTAAAACCATTTAGTATTTGCGGGATAAATTTGGAAAATCATTGTTTTTCACATGGGCAGTTATACTTTGCGTGTTCACGAGTTGGGAAACCATCCGCTTTATTTGTGTTAACGTTAGACCAAAAAACAAAAAATGTGGTTTACAAAGGAGCACTTCAATGAAACGGATAATTCGCGGACAAGTATAACGCTTCGATTCGGTATCTACTTTGGATTCACCTTCATTTACTTAGAGAACTTCACACTTAATTTTTTAAATCGAAATGAATTCATTACTGTTGTGAAATGAAATAAAAATTTTCGTTTCCAAATATAAAACAAAAAAAAAATTTCTTCATCTTTTAATCACCAAACGAACTGTTACTTAAAACAAAGCTTTCTGGTGGAAAAACGGAATTCGTCGGGTTTACTAGTTGTTTATAGAATCAACTCTCTAAAATATACTTATAGTAATTAATACACCACGATTTCGTTTCAATGAAAATTTAAAAAAAGTATATTTGTACATAGCGTCCTTAAGCGCGCATGAAGTGAAGCTTCGTAACGTTGAAATAAAAGCAGGAATGTATATAAATAGACTTTTATAAATTTTTAGTATTTCTGTAAAACAAACTTTATTAACATTACATTACAAGTCACAATTGAATGCCCGCATGCGTTCGAATGAATTCCCTCACTATCTTTTTTTCATCGCGTTAAACGTTTAACGCAACCTCGTTGAAAGTAGCATAAGAAATTTGACTTCAATAAAATAATTAATACAACTATCTATATATAATTTAATTTTCTAATGATGCATAGACATATTAACAGTTGGTAGAGGGAAGTTTTTGGGGTGGAATATTTCCTTGACTGGTTTCGGAGGTCTGATTTTCCTTCCGTGCCTTCCATCCTTCCTTTTCCAAAGTCCAGATCTTGGTCTGTTACCGAGCCATCTGTTCCTTTGAGGGGAACCTATTGGCGTATTACCATGATCTACATTTGAGAGACGACCTGGAAAATATATGTTGAGATGTTAATAGCTATATTAATGTATTATTAAATCGACTTCCAGAGAAAACGAAAAATGGACTATGTAAAATTTTAAACAAAATATAACACTAAACAGATTGGTCTATATAAATATGAATTTTTATTATAAATAAAATTTTCACACAGAGAACTTATTAACAGTCCAAATGGATCCAAATGGAAATGATTAGCTGGACCGATTTCACTAATTATTTTTTGTTGTATATGTTATTATTAGTACAAGGTTCTTATGTCAGAAAAAATTACGAAAATTACTAGAATATTTCACTTTTTTAAATAAAATAATGTCACTGGTAGTAATATTCACGTAGCTGCCATTTAAGCAAAGAAAAAATTAAAACAAATTAACTTCATTCAGACAAAAAGGTAACAGATATTTATTGATTACAGCGTGGTACGAAGTTTTCCTGGTCAGCTAGTATTAATATATTTAATTATTAAGAAATTTAAACAAAAAGTTATTTTACCAACAACAGCCATGCAATGTTCATTAAAGCTGAACAATCTCTTTGATGGCATCTGAACTATAATTCTATCATCTTGTCTTCGGAGTATTGTACCAGAGGTTCCCGCTGCATGTATGTATAATCCACCTTGACCTGGAAAGAATAAATAGAAAAATTTTAATAAGGAAAAACAAGCATTTAGCAAGTCCTCACTTATGAAGCAAATACTCAATGAAATTAAACGTATGCTTTTCTTTTCGTTTCTTAATATAAAAGCTGTTTTAACATTCCAAATGAAATTGCAATGTTTCAAAGAATGTTTAATAATAATAATCTTACACCAAAAATTTAAACTGATTATCATAAGCACTAGGCATATTTATTAAAAATATGTTAGTGGATAAAATAAAGCCTCAATGCAGTACTTTTCTGAATTAAACTAACCCAGAATCTATTTGAATATAAAAATAAAAGTACCAATTAAAAGTTTCAAAAACCTTATACTAAAGTTCATAAACATATTTATAACTTAGTTAAATGGCATTAGTGTATGTAATTAAAAGGATTAGATTTTAGTGTAAGGAAAAACAGACATTTAAGTGTATTCATAATATTATGGCAAAGAAGAGTATAAACCTGGTTCTTTTTCTATACAATGTACAATTGTGCCGGTTGGCAAAGCTCCAAGAACATATGCATCACCCTCATTAGCTCTCACTGTAAATAGATACATACATATTAATTATTAACAGCATTTTCAATTTTAAGCATATTTTAGCTAAAAATATTATAATTTTGCCACAATGTTTTAAAGACATCCTTATGTTTTATTGTTATGAATCTATAAACACAAAAATTGATGTGTACAATGTGTTTTTTTACTGTTAATGTTTATTATGAAAATAAAATCAGTAAGATTTAACTGTAAACAAAATGTATGTCATCACATTTTGATGATATTTGAAGATCACTGGATTAAAAACTAATTGGAAATTTGTCATTTCATTTTAAACACTTCTGAAAATTGGTAATTAAGACAATAACATTGACTTATAAAAAATGAGTGGTGATAAATCTCCAGAGTTTGTATGCAAGAAGATTGTAATTGCATTGTAAAAAGTGCTGAATATCATGTATATGTACAGCTGCGTGCAAAAGTATTAGGCACCCCTATTGTTAGTCACTATCTCATTAGATAGCGGTCAAGTGTGTGTTTTATGGTTTAGCTATTGTATTAGCGGCAATTTTTAACCAAATTAAGATAAAAGAAAATATTTATGACATCCAGGTGTCCTCCTAAGCGGTGTTTCTTCGAATTTGCTTTTTTTGCGTTTCGGGTTATAGTGTGTTATCAGTGCTTGCAGTGAACATACACGTCTTCTACGCAACTATTCCTATCACAATTCTAAAGACTAACATTTAACGTGTTAATCATGCCGAAAAAATCTGAACTTAGTGCTGAACAGCGTCTAAGAATTAAGATTTTACAAGAACAAGGCATGTCTCAGGTTAAAATAGCCCGAGAAGTAAAGTGCTCGCGATGTGCAGTTCAATATGCTATAAAACGCTTCAAAGAGACTGGCACCCATGAAAATAGACCAAGAACAGGCAGAAGAAAGGTTACTACTGAACGGGAAGATCGATTGTTGATTAGGCAGTCTCTACAAAACAGGAAAAAAACTGCTTTAGAGCTCGCTGCAGCATTATCTGAGGCAAAAGGCAGCTCAGTGAGTGTTTATACTGTGAGTAGAAGACTTCTTAAAGCTGGATTAAAAGGATGTAAAGCAAGGAAGAAGCAGGGGCTATCAGAACACAATAAGAAAAATCAGTTGGAGTGGGCACTCAAACATAGAGATTGGTCAGTGGAAGATTGGTCCAACATACTGTGGTCAGACGAATCTAACTTTGAGGTATTGTTATTTATTTTATGTACAATATTAAAACACATAAATGTTTTTAAAATAACGTACTACAAGAAAAATAATAATTTTGAAAATAAATGGGTTTTTTTCGTTTGGCATAGGTGTTTGGAACACCCGGTGTGACTTATGTTAGGCGAAGGGTTGGCGAAGAATACAACCCAGAATGTGTGGTTCCCACTGTTAAGCATGGTGGAGGCTCAATAATGATCTGGGGCTGCATGGCTGCCGACGGAGTGGGCGAAATGGTGTTGTGTGAGGGACGAATGAATAGTGTTAAATACACTGAAGTTCTGGAAACAGCACTAGCAACGTCGATAACGCAAATTTTCGATGATACAAACACCGATGGCCTGAAATTTCAGCAAGACAACGCCACTTGCCACAAGTCCGCGCATACCATGAAGTGGTTTGCTGAAAATCATATTGATCTTTTGGACTGGCCACCACAATCACCAGACCTCAACCCGATTGAGCATATTTGGTCCATTTTAAAGAAAAATATCCGCAGGCACTCGATTAGCAATAAACAAGCTCTATTGGCCGCGTTACAGCAGGAATGGAAAAATATATCAAGAGAAGAATGTTTCAGGCTGGTAGAGTCAATGCCAAAAAGAGTGGCTGAGGTTATTAAGTCAAAAGGTGGACCTACAAAATATTAATTATTTTCTTAAAATAAACAATTGTAATCATAAATGCAGTTTTATTTACACTCGCTATGCTAAAACACCCTAAAACTTGTCTTACTGTAGGGTGCCTAATACTTTTGCCCGTGGCTGTATAATAAACTAAATAACTCACCAGGTATTCTAGGTAAATAACGTGAAGACTTTATGATATCACCAGCTTTCATATTCTCTGTAGCTAAAATATATTTAAGCTTATCGCCAACAGCTACTAAAGCTACATGAGCTGTTCTACAACCACATTCAATTATCTGTAACATCAAATTAAATGTTATTACTATTTTGACATATAAAAGGTATGTCACAAGATTACTAATATCTTTTTTTCCAAGAAATTCACGAGTCTTAATCATTTAAATGAATCTAATATTTTGAAGATGATTCATTTTTGATAATAAACTACATACTCCCGATGTCTCGGCTACATTACAGCAACCATTTTATCAAAAATAAAATCGCGTCGTACTTAATTATTTTAATGGACTAGGTGTATTTTAAGTATATGTTTTCATGTTGCAAGTACCTCAATAACTTTTTCTTCTTGTGGCGGGCCTTCCGTCGGGCCATCCCTGACCCAATCAATCCAATGATATTTGTGTTTTATCCCGCCGCCGATACCTTTTGCTACTACTCGTCCTATTGATAATATTAGTTAAAGAAAAGTAGACCATTGCTTTTTCAATTAAATAAAGTGTAAACAAACCTGACACAGGATCTCTTCCGGCCAGATTAGTCACTTCTAATGGTTTTACGGTATATTCTTCAGGGAAATGGACGATTCTTCTGTAACTTTTACCAAATCCTGGTTTCGGTTTTACAATGTTAGGTTTACTTGCATAATTCACTGCTGCTACTTGTATGGCTCTTCGACCAACCACGTGAGGTGATATAGTCAGACTTAAGCCTGCGAATAGTCTGTTTAAAGCCATTTCAAAAGGCTTTAAACCTATCTGTTATGAAGTATTCCTTAATATTTTATGTGTATTAAACTTAACCTATAAAGTATAATTTGAGTTTTGACAGTTTAAAATTTAATTGAAAGATATTACACAATATAGATAAAAAATATTATGGTTATTATTTTTAATTTGATAACTTTTTAGAAATTATTTATTTTAATAAGGCGCCTCATAAGACGATTATTAATAAAATTTTAATAAAAATATCGCTTTTTATCAAGCCGTGAAATATATGATCTTTGTCTTAATAATTGAAAAAAAAAGTAAGTGCGACCCCTAGCGGCAATATTGTGATAAAAATACATCGTGAATGTGGCGTGTGTTGTTTGGAATATCGTGAGTCGTAAATAAAAATGCCTTCAATAGACTGGTATTACTTATTATAAGTGTACTTCATGTGTGTTAAAACAATAATCTACACAAAAGCCTTCTGTGAATAACAATAACTGGTGTTAAGAATTGTTTTACTTTTGGTATTTTGTCATATGTTGCACGCCTGCCTTGGGGTCTTGATGAGGACAAAAAAATAATCAGTAATTCCGATGCTAAATTGATAATGCAGTAAGTTTTATATTTTATTTAAACCTTATCTGGCTGGTACTGAATATTAATGAACTTATTACATGGCCCAGAGTATTTTTATGCATTTATAATGAACAGGTTACTGATGTTTCTCTTCGTACTTGGCTTCGTACCGTAACCATCAGAAGCCCGCGGTTTTTATTATCAAACTATTAATATTATTTGACACGCGATTTAGAAGCAACTTGGTATGACATTTACTCTTTACACAGTTAGCAACATTTGTGTATTTTTTGTTACAGAAATAGACACAACCAGTCTTCCGGCACGTTATTGCGCTTTCTCGTGACAATGCGGTGCCTTATGTGTGAATATATTTTCTAGTGTAGTTCTTTAAGTATTAACCTCATAATGGTTGTTAGAGCGGAAGACGAATAACGACAAGATGAGTCACAATCTGGCGGGTATGCCGTCTTATAGACTGCCTGGGCCGGGCTTGGGTCCTCCAGACTTCAAACCGCCCATGGACACTCCTACACCGCCGGCCGCTGCGCCGAGCAACCCCAAGAAGAGAAGAAAAACATCAAATGCAAACAATGCCCTCACACCTCCACAACCTCCACCGACAGCCCAAGATCTACTGCCTCCACCCCTCACGGGCTATGGAGACACGATAGTCGCTTCCAACCCCTTCGATGACTCCCCATCTACAGTCTCTCATAATGGACCCATGATGAATCAAAACGGCCCCATGATGAGTCAAAATGGACCTATGGGAATGATGGGCCCTATGAGCCACAGCATGGGTGGGCCACCGATGAGGCATATGAGTCCCTTACCGCACAACATGAGTCCTATGAGCCAACAGATGCCACCAAGAGGAGGGATAAGTCCCATGGGTAATATGAGTCCTATGGGCCATAGTCACATGGGTGGGATGTCTCCCATGGGAGGACCAAATATGGGTATGAGTAACCACAGTATGGGTCCAGGTATGGGACCTACATCAAGATCAATGGGAAGTCCGATGAGTCCTATGAATTCAATGCCCATGGGTTCTCCAATGTCTTCAGGACCAATGGGTAGTCCAATGAATATGGGATCCATGGCAGGCAGTCATATGAGCAATAGTCCTATGGGACCCCCAATGCATAGTCCTCTTGGAGGGGGCTCAATGAATGGTCCTATGAATGGACCAATAAATGGGCCGATGGGTGGTGGCCCTGGTATGAATGTTCCTCGCATGAATGGCCCTATGGGACCCAGCTGTTCTAATGGTTCAATGGGCCCAACTAGTTCTATAATGTCACCAAGCCCTATGCAGAGTGGGGGGATGGGTCCTGGACATTGCGGGCCAATGAGACACGGCAGTCCGATGGGCTCTGGCATGGGCAGTGGTCCTATGGGTGGAAATGGACCTATGACGTCAATGGGTCCCGGACCACCGTATTCAGGGAACCACATGAGTCACAGTGGTCCAATGGGTATGGGGGGAAGTGGTTCGATGGGAATGGGCCCGGGACCTGGAAATATGGGGAATTGTGGTCCACTGGCTGGTATGAGTGGAATGTCAATGGGTGGTCCAGGAGGTCAAGGACCCATGGGGCAGAATATGGGAATGTTTGGACCAAAACCCATGCCAGTGAGTGCAGGGAAAGTGTACCCACCGGACCAACCTATGGTGTTCAACCCTCAAAACCCTAACGCTCCACCCATTTATCCTTGTGGTGTGTGTCACAAGGAAGTACATGATAATGATCAAGCTATTTTATGTGAATCGGGCTGCAACTTTTGGTTCCACAGGTAAAAATAACAAATTTATATGTATTTACATAAGAAATTACCATTTTCCTAGATATGAGTAAATAAAACAATGAATAAATTTATTATACATATAAAATATTAATTAAAAAATAGACTAAGTCATATTGGTATTACATTATAATTTTAATAATACAGTTCTATAGCATTAAAATAAAATTTATCTTTTAATATTAGTACATGATTTAACACAGAGTAATATATGTTACAGAGGATGTACCGGTCTGACAGAGCCAGCTTTTCAGTTGCTAACAGCGGAGGTGTACGCTGAATGGGTGTGTGACAAGTGCCTACATTCTAAAAACATACCATTGGTGAAATTCAAACCTTAATAATAGCCTTTCACCGAGAGCTCATCTGCAATCATCACATATTTATTTCACTTCATTATGGACTATTCAAATAATTTATTGAATTACGGAATGGAGTCAAAACTATGAAGGATCTCATCGGTAGGATTTTAGTAATTTTTGAATGGTTTTCTTAAATTAATATTGAACGGATACAAAAAGTCGGACTCAATTTTTATATTTATAATTTTGAAATGAAATCAGTGAAAAGTCATTATTATTAGTTGTTGCTAATTCATTGATAGCAAAGTTGAATTTCTAATTTGATAGCCATTTTATTAGATGAGTTCAAATTTGTATTTTTTCATATAATTTTCTTTCTTGTAAATGCATATCTGAATGAGCAATTGTATGTGATTTTATCAAATTTTGTATTACATGCAGCTTTAGAAATCTAAATGGCATAACCACATTGAAAGTGCCTTTTATAACACAACAAACAGAAAATTATCAATATAGGAACTATAGACAATTGTTGACAGTTAAAAAAAACATTATGCCATAACTTATTTAAGAAGCCTGTATAAATATATATAATCTTTAAAAAGTTTGTATGTAATGAGTTTCAATATGTATTTTAACTTTTAAGGATAATTTTTCATAGTATATAGCCATTAGCTGCATGTATAACAAAACGAGCAATACACACTTTGGTTATTTGCCCTTTATCGCTTTATGTGCATATTGTAAATATTAGAATAAGTATAAACTTCCGCCTTGAAATAATTTTGAAATTATAATTAATTTTAACAATAATTTTTCAATAACAATACATACACTCGAATAATAATGCAGACAGAAGGTGGGATTGAAAACAAACAAAAAGATTCACAAGGTTCTGTCTCAGGTATGACTACCTGGTTTACATGAAAAAGGTAAAAATAATGTTCAAGTATTGATTTTAAAACTTAATATGACCAGTGAATTAATATTCAGTTGAATATCAACATTATATCTTACATATGACTTATTTACAGAGTATTTATTTGTCCATACAATTTATTTATACGCATCGGCCGGTATCAAGACCGCCATTATATATTTGCTATTGATAATGTACTTATTTTCGTGTCCCAGTTCGCATGTAACAATACGCGTTATCTTAAAATAAATGTACATACAATGAATCCATACGCTTTGTTAAATATAAGAGTGTTGAAAATGTGTTTGTCAATTTTTCTAACTTTTGAAGATTTTTTTTTATTATTATTATATATAATTAAGCTTGTACATTAAGGTGTAAATATTATAGTTTAGGATAATGAACTGAGATTATATAAAGATGCGGGCTCCAGGTAAATACGGTTGTGATTTATTGAGTGATCCGCAGCTTTTATTTGTTCTCACTCGCCGCCATGTTTTTCTGGAGTCACGATTGGACTTGTGTACTGAAAAACATTTTAAATTTGGAATTCTATGTTTGTTTTTTTAAATTAGTAGTCGTGTTCTGCCAGATAAGATTTTAATGTGGATAATTATGATTTTTCGTTAAATGTCTTTTATCGTTTATAATTAATGTGTTTATAAAATTTTGTAAATGTGCTTACCGGAATAATTTCTATGCTATCTCTGGGTTGTGTTTTTAACTGTTACTTAAAATCATGTCACTTAAGAATATATTTTTTCGTCGTTCAGTGTATAGATCTGTGGAGATTATTTTGTGTGTTTTGTAATTTCTGTGATTTTAATATAATTTTCTTTTGTTTTTTTAATAACACTATGTTGTGTGAATCGAGCCCGTGTATGTATTATATAAAAATAAAAACGCAGCAATCTAGTGCCTAAGCCTGGTTCATGATGACTTTATAGCAGTTTTAAATAATAATAATAATAATGATAATTTTAAATGAGATTTTTTCAGAATAACATATTTATTTATTTTAAATACCATGACATAAATGAATTGTAATAAATATTTGTATGTAGTTTTACATATGGCTGCGTGTGGCAGATTTTTTTTATTATATATATAGTGGTGTGACGTATCCGGTTGGTTAAATTCTTTCATGATGGTGCCAGTAATAGCCTTAACTCAATCTGTCTATTTAATAGTGAATAGTACATCAACAAAAATAATTCTTTAACATATGCTCGTACATAATGTTATAATTTCCACATTCGTGGTTAATCATGTGTAGTTAGTTATAATCGCTTAGAGATTTTTTTGGATGAAGATATAACAATGTTTTTTTTAAATACATTTTGTAAATATATTTAAATCGAGAGTATCGCTTATTGTACAGTTACATATAAATTTAAATCGTAGTATAAGCGGCCATGAATGTAATGTAATATTAATTTTCGTGAGAGCATCACAATTATTTACTTGAGACTGCTATGTATAACACCTGTTAATTGTTATATGGGCTTCACGTGTATTCAAATATAGTCATAAATGTTTGAATAATAAAGTTCATATTTAAATGTACGGGAAGCTCATAACTAACAACACAGATAGCGAATTGTATAACAGAATATTTTATAAAAGTCAATATAGAATTACATACATCAGTGGTCTTAAAACTTGTGCATAGTTTATTTTGTATTATGTGAATAATAACAAGCAATAATAAAATTGTTACTGACGAGTTTTTTATTTTGTTAAAACCGTTAAATTTAAATAATAAAGTCACTAAACTCTATTATTAATACTTAGTAATAAAAAGCTGTATATAAATTCATTATTTCTTATACAGGGTGACTGGTGAATTACTATCAATATTTAAGGAGAATACTCGGTACATGATTCTCATAGGAATTATGTAAAAAAAATAGGTACTTAATTTTTGACCAAATTTCCGTATAAATAAATAAAGTGTTGACACGTTCCAAGTGTGGACGCGTGCGGCGGCGTGCTGATACAACACCACGCCGCCGCGCGCGATTGTGTGTGTATACCCAATCTGTAGGGTGTTCACACGATGCGTAATTAATTACATAACTTTTGGTTAACTTTACTTAGAAGTTTATATATGTTATATTAATTTTTATTTTGTCATATATGATAATCAAATATCACGTCTTCAAGTATCGATAGTAATTCATCAGTCACCCTGTATATACAGCTGCGTGCAAAAGTATTAGGCACCCCTATTGTTAGTCACTATCTCATTATATTGCGGTCAAATGTGTGTTTTATGGTTTAGCTATTGTATTAGCGGCAATTTTTAACCAAATTAAGATAAAAGAAAATATTTATGACATCCAGGTGTGCTCCTAAGCGGTGTTTCTTCGAATTTTCTTTTTTTGCGTTTCGGGTTATAGTGTGTTATCAGTGCTTGCAGTGAACATACACGTCTTCTACGCAACTATTCCTATCACAATTCTAAAGACTAACATTTAACGTGTTAATCATGCCGAAAAAATCTGAACTTAGTGCTGAACAGCGTCTAAGAATTAAGATTTTACATGAACAAGGCATGTCTCAGGTTAAAATAGCCCAAGAAGTGAAGTGCTCGCGATGTGCAGTTCAATATGCTATAAATCGCTTCAAAGAGACTGGCACCCATGAAAATAGACCAAGAACAGGCAGAAGAAAAGTTACTACTGAACGGGAAGATCGATTGTTGATTAGACAGTCTCTACAAAACAGGAAAAAAACTGCTTTAGAGCTCGCTGCAGCATTATCTGAGGCAAAAGGCAGCTCAGTGAGTGTTTATACTGTGAGAAGAAGACTTCTTAAAGCTGGATTAAAAGGATGTAAAGCAAGGAAGAAGCCGTGGCTGTCAGAACACAATAAGAAAAATCGGTTGGAGTGGGCACTCAAACATAGAGATTGGTCAGTGGAAGATTGGTCCAACATACTGTGGTCAGACGAATCTAACTTTGAGGTATTGTTATTTATTTTATGTACAATATTAAAACACATAAATGTTTTTAAAATAACGTACTGCAAGAAAAATAATAACTTTGAAAATAAATGTGTTTTTTTCGTTTGGCATAGGTGTTTGGAACACCCGGTGTGACTTATGTTAGGCGAAGGGTTGGCGAAGAATACAACCCAGAATGTGTGGTTCCCACTGTTAAGCATGGTGGAGGCTCAATAATGATCTGGGGCTGCATGGCTGCCGACGGAGTGGGCGAAATGGTGTTGTGTGAGGGACGAATGAATAGTGTTAAATACACTGAAGTTCTGGAAACAGCACTAGCAACGTCGATAACGCAAATTTTCGGTGATACAAACACCGATGGCCTGAAATATCAGCAAGACAACGCCACTTGCCACAAGTCCGCGCATACCATGAAGTGGTTTGCTGAAAATCATATTGATCTCTTGGACTGGCCACCACAATCACCAGACCTCAACCCGATTGAGCATATTTGGTCCATTTTAAAGAAAAATATCCGCAGGCACTCGATTAGCAATAAACAAGCTCTATTGGCCGCGTTACAGCAGGAATGGAAAAATATATCAAGAGAAGAATGTTTCAGGCTGGTAGAGTCAATGCCAAAAAGAGTGGCTGCGGTTATTAAGTCAAAAGGTGGACCTACAAAATATTAATTATTTTCTTAAAATAAACCATTGTAATCATAAATGCAGTTTTATTTACACTCGCTATGCTAAAACACCCTAAAACTTGTCTTACTGTAGGGTGTCTAATACTTTTGCCCGTGGCTGTAGATCAGCTATCACTTGGTCATATACAATACATAGTAGACTTTCTAGTTGATTGTCATTTAACGGGAATTAGTGTTTCAATAATAAACAAATGAATGTGAATTTGTTAAAAACACTTAAACTATAGAAAAGATTTTAAAGTAATGTCTTCTGTAAAAGGCGCTCTCAACCACAAAGTAACAATCACAAGAACACTCTTGATAAATTCCTTAAGTCTGATTTGACAAACCACGGTTCTGTTTTTAATTGATAAATGAAATTAATTTTACAATAACACAATATTAGCTTTTATATAACAAGTTCAGTTGTCATAAAAGGAGTGACGTCACCACACCCTGATTGGTGATTTAAAATACCATTTGTTTTGAATTGTAATTCGTAATTGTTGTTAAACATTATTTAAAAGAAAAAAGTTGCAGTGACGTGTTTGAAATCAAACTTTTTATGCGACTTCGGAGAGGTTGCGTTAAACGTTCTACGCTACTTTAAAAAGAGAGGGAGCTCAAACCCATGCAGCCAATCAATTGTAACTTGTAAGTGATGGTAATAAAGTTTGCCTTAAAGAAACACTAAAATTCAACTTCTACTGCATCCTGTTTTCATTCTAACATTAAGAAGTGTCACTTGTTCCGCGCAAAGGGATTCCACGTATAATTCATTTTTGTTTCTTTACAAACAGCCAAAGAGTTAACAATCTGTTTCCATTAAGTACTTATAAAAAAATATATTAAAATTATTATAAATGTAGTACAAAAAAACTGCATCTTTTTAGGTGAATATTTTAAGTGAATTTCTTAATGCTGTGAAATAGGGCGGTTTATAAATATCCAAAAAAAATGCAAATTGTATTCAAACTTGTTTGGTAAAATGGACCTTCAAAAATAATTAATTTCTTTAAACATGAACTAAACGGATAATATTAATATCAATATCTCACAATAAAACATTAGCGAGATTTAATAATGTAGTTTGGGTTTAGGTAAATAGTAAATCTTCTAGCAGCGTATGGTTTATTGTTTTTCCGTACAAAAAAAAATTAGACGAAACCTCTCAGCATTCGATGGATTCACCGTGCGCATGCCGGGTCCATCGTTGCAGGGAGAGGAGCTTCAACAGTGACTGGGACTTGCGCCCCAGGTGTTAAGGTTAAAAGGCCTCTACTTAACGCTCGTTAAACACTCACCTCCACTGTTCAAGCTCCTGACAGGCTTCCTGAAAACACACAGTAGAGACGACCTTCATCAAGAGTTAAAATACTTTCCTATGAGAAACAATAAAATGATAATGAAAAATTTAATATATATAACACAACCAAACTTTAAAAATTCAAAAAATATAGATATATGCAAAGTGAGATGATAACGCCAATTTATCCGATAGGAATAATGCTAAGAGATTCAGAAAAGACGCTCTGCTTGTAAATTGTACCTATATATATTAAGGGATGCAACTTACCTATTCATATTTTGTTTTCGGTGCAAGTTGAGTGAAGCTATAAAGCTGAATCACTAAAATCGCCCCAAATAACTGGACTCCGACCAAAAAAACAACGACAAGTTCGAACATTCGGTTGCCGAGATCATCTCCGTTAAAATGACCTGAGTCGCCAGAATAGCTTTCCACTCGATACCTAATGTTTATTCATACTATTTCGTAAATATTATTTGTGAATGTTTCAAATAAAATTTATATACAATGTGTTTTTATTTTTATCAACGTTGATTGTAAATTAGAGCACACGAAATGATTAAGCTATGATTTAAATGGACAATTAAAAATGTTCAACCCAGGCTTGGATGGGCTTAGAAACTCCAAAATCTACCAGTTTTCTAATCACTCTTTCAACATGAATTTGAAGGCTTGCAATTTCCTTCAATATTAGTAACTTTTTCGTATTTTAAACTTTTTTGGATATAAATACTTAAATACAAGATGGTCTCATCATTTGTTTTTTTCGTTCGTTTTCGCTCTTTTCATGTATTTTAAGCATCTGTATCTGTCAAGACACCAGCTCCAGTAAGTAAATCCATATATCCATCCATCCATAGATTTAGATTCTTAAAACGAATTGACTCAAAACTTTAACTAGGTAACTTAAACGTTTATAAACATATCTGGTGTTGAAACATTTTAGAATGCTGCATTTCTTGTTAGAGAGAAGGGACAGACATTGGTTATTACATCACTAGGTACTTCCATAGGTAACGATTATAGACGAGGCAATTGACTACATATACGGTATACTTTAGAATATACATTTTAGAAACCAATCGACAAGTTGGCGAGAAATATTTCTTGAGATGGTTTATATTGTAAACTTTTGTAACAATAAAAATAGTCTGTCTTCTATCATTTCATGTTACATATCAAAATTTGGTAAAATAAAAATAATTCAGTTGCAGCTTTTCGAATACTAAGAGAATATTGTGATGATAGCATGTTACGTTTTTCCGTAGGAGAACTACAAGAAATTGTTGCTAGACGGTATTGTTACATAGTAGTTAAAGTATTAATGCACTTATTTCGCACTTTCGGACTAGAAGTTCCAGTCCAAAAAAAATTATATATTTAGCCATATTAAAGCAGATAGTGCCATGGCACAAAATATGAGTAAATTTTTTTAACAACATTGGAGATATTATAATGATTACATTGATTTGGATAGATAGTCCATCTTAATTTTTGATCAAATTCAAATATAAATCTTACGTCGACAAACATGCAAAAATCTAAAAACCAGCAACGAAAAAATACGACCAGTGACAGAAAGGTGTGACGTCAAAGGAACTGTAGGTCAGATTACGCGCAAAAATTTAAACTGCCTGAAACCGCTTTTATTGCAATAAAATAAAATGTTCTTAAACTATATGCTATACAAATACGGATTACATCCTTATAAATTGAAACTTAAAGAAAAATATTCCACGTTTCCTAATCTTTTAAATCATCATTTAATGTGTCCCAACTCCCAATTCCCGCCAATTCATTTTTATGGCATTTTCATTATCCATCGCGTCAGTAGTTTATATTGAAACTTGTATTGATTGTGACTTTTTCTAAAGTTATTCCTAGAATTGTTAAATGATTGTTTTAGAATTGCAAAGTGAATTGTTTTGTCTGTTTCTCAGAAACTAATCTAAATCAAAGGGCACATTAATGTGAACGTATGAAGTTTGAACTATTTATATTTTATACAATATTTATATGTTATATTTGCACGATAACAGACTTTAAAAGTAATGGAAGTCACATTAGAAATTTATGTTAAAAAACCGCATTTTGAGAAATATACTGTACCTATACAATATTTTAGGCAGTGGTAAGTGTATTGTGTTATAATTTTTAATATTGTGTTAAGTCAAGACAAAAGAAAATTTTGAAACAAAGGACCTATTAAGACCTGAAACTAAATGTTTTTAATAAAAATAGATATAGAGGGATATATAGAGGATTTATTTAAATTGTCCTTACCTACAACTATAAGTATATCAAGCAAGTTTGTTATAATACATTCATACTATTACATTGCACAGTATTTATAACATATAGAGTACAAACTACAAACTGAGAAATGAGAATATATATATGCATTATTGTTTATTAAAATTGTAAATTAAATAAAAATGTATGTCTTCCATATGATATGAATATATAATTACATTTTGTACTTCTTATCCAACAATAATATAAAATAATATCACACCAACATCTTCTAAATATTACATTTGTTATTAAACAAACATGATTTAGAGATAAAAAACTTCTTAAATTATTAAGATGTTATTTTCAATTATTTTGAATAATGTTTCTTATTAAAAATCAAAATAAGATAATTGCAGAATGTTTTTACCATAAATAATTGTATATTTGTCCATAAAAAAGTATTTTTTAATCCCAGCGGCACCTCTAAAAATTATATTATCCGTTTTATAGAGATTTGGTAGTCTACAATCAGTATAATAATTATTTGTTTACATCACTACCATATAAGCAACTAAATAAACTCAAGTCATATAGAGGTGCGAAAATATAGATAGTTTACATTTATTGTCCTTATACAAACTATTGTTAGGTATGTAATTGTAAAAAAATGTAAATATTTTGGACACCCACATCAATTAAACCAGTATTGGTAACAAATTATGGCAGTAAAACCTATATAATTACTTGATAACATTTGTCTGCACCACTTAAATAATCAAAATCAACTCAAACCAAAGAAATGGGTGTGAATTAAAAATTAACCGTAGTCCGTCCCATAAGAAGTGAGACCTTTGTATTGTATTGCAAAGGAAACGGCCGCATCTAAAAAATCATAATGATTATTTGCTATATTATTGTCATGTGTTTCATTGTCTTCAGCCTCATATTCAATGTTGCTATTATTTAAATTATCAGTTTCACTAAAAAACTGATATGACGAACTTGAAGTTTCGGGGTAAAATTTTAATGGTGAATTATTATTTGAGTTATGTTCAATGTCATCGGCATATGTCCATGACATGTCCAGATTGTTTGAAGAACACTCAGTTTGTAGTTTGCTTTCTAAGTTTATATCTGGACTTTCGTCGTCTGAAGGTATTGGGCTGCTCGCTGCCGACATATATATATGTTTACTTGAATCACATTGATCTGTCCCACTGTTGTCATTACTCGATCCCGAGTTATTCTGCAAGCCGTGAGCAGATATCGCCATCAATATAGCCTCATTCTCAATACTATTGTCACCGGGCAGGTTGTTTATAAACTCCGCTGCATCTAACGCTAGAACTCTGTTATTGTCCATATCAGCGGGTAATGGTGCAAGCATCCAGCTATCGAGGACCCGATTGATTGTGTTGTCAACAAAACATTTAGCCATCTGAAAAAAACATGAATGTTGACATATTTATGAACAAAGAAGTAGTAATAACTATGTACAAGTGGTAATAAATAAATAATACTTAATAATACCTGTCTTGCTTGCCACCGAGCTATACATTGGTCTTCAACTTCCTTACTTGAGTACACCATAGAATTAGGTATGGACTTGTCGCTGTTGGTACTTCCACTACTTTCACTTGTGTCCCTGCTGCTCTCAAATGTACTTATATACCGCGGGTACGAAAGTTTTTGACTTGTACTTGAGCTAGGTAATAACGACGCATTATTGTCACTTATAGAGTCAAGGGAATTGAAATCCTGTTTCAATAAGTAGTCCCCTAATATCTCAAGGTTTTGTTCTGTACGACCAACTAATTTAGATTCTTGCTTCGATGAACCGGCTGTATCCGTTTCTCCTATTTGATTTGATTTTCCATCTGTTATATCATTTCTCAAATGATATTTCCCCTTTACTTCCCAAGCAAAGCGTGCTTTCTTTAGTGGGCGGTCTGGTTCTTGAGTAGCGTCGCCATTTTCTTGTCGTTTACACGAAGATTCACCAATATTTTCAGAAATATTCATTATGAGATGTTTATCAATACTGTCATTAGTAAACAAACACTGACATCACTAATTACTAAACATATGATTGACTGACAAGTCGCTAATTAGACATTTTTTATACTTCTTTCTCATTATTATTACTGATTATCTTGCACTAAAATTATTTTCTAGCTTTAAACAACTTGTTATATCCTCTATATAATTATTTCAAAAATATAGAAGTTAACTACACAATGTTACAAAATCAATTGTGTAGCTACTAGAAATTTCACAAGTAGTCAACTTCTTTGCGTCTGTGTAGTCTGTGCCTTGCTAATGTCAGTTGACATTGTAGAATAACTTTTTGGGTTCTTTGTAAAATTATTTGCCCTTATTAACATGAATGAACAATAAACTCTGCTTTTTTGTTTATTACTTCTACGAAATGCATTTTATGTTACTATTTAAAATTGCTCTGATTTCTGTTAATAATTATTTCCTTACATTTTTTAAAGGTATCTATGGACTTTTAAAATAATGGACGGTAGTATAAACAGTCATTGTAAAAGTATGAATAATAAAAACTTGTTCGTTCACTTTAAAAAAGTATTTTATTTATATATTTTACACTAAAAAGCAAAAAACACATTAAATGTGAGGTCAGGAGCTATAAATAAAAGAAATTTATTATTTAATGTGACTAAATAAAAAAGTGGCATATTTGACATTTTTATGTTTGAAAAATTGAAAAGTTAAAACATTGTAGGTAACTTATTATAATAAGATTGAGTCGAAGACATTCGCCATTTTAACAAATTTAAGACTGTTTAATTGAACAATGACCCAATTCATTAAATATAATTTCAAAATATGTGAACACAAAGCGTTTGTAGGCAGATAGTTAGGTATATTTGTTTAAGATAATGTTATTGCTAATAAACGAAATGAGGGCCGCTTTAATGACTCATAAGTTAAAATTTATAGGAATAGATTGACACCTAATCAGAATATAAAGGAGGGGGGTCCATTATTAGTTAATAAGATGATTGTAGGCAGTTGGTCCATATACGTCGACGAAGTTGCCCAAATACTGGTGTTAAAAAAGTTTTAGTCATAATAAAACGGGCAAAATTAATATCCCGGTATTTTATACTTCAAGTTTCGCGTCATCACAATGCAGGTAGATATTTTATTGTAGAAATAATTTTAAGAGTGAGAGTGCAGAATGGAGATAATTATTTATATAGATCTATGTTTTAATTATGATTTTTAAGTGCTTCCTTTTTTTTAAACCTCTGTGTGTGTAATTTAGAACACAATTTCTTTTATCATTGTCCTGGTTTTGATCAAACTATGTAACAAATTTAAACTTTCCATTAACACTTCTATAAATTAAAATGATTATATACCTACGTTTTTTTTTTTGAGAAAGTAAAAAAAGCTAAGTATTTGCTGTTCCTTCACTTTAATTAAAAACCGATAATAGGAATTGTTAACAAAACTATTTACCCAATTACCGATTAAACTTCTCGGAATATACCTAACTTTGGATCGTAATATTTATTTAAATGTCTGGTTTTAATTATAATTAAATTTATCATACACTTACTTAAATCTTGTTTTCTTAATAGATTACGTTTGTAAAAATTTTAATCGGTAGGCGAAAAAATACGAGTATATATATCATCCGAAATTTCTTTAAAGCCTTAAATGTAGAGTAATAAAGGGTATACCAGATTTTAATAATAAAAAGTAACGTATGTATTACTCTTCCCGCAACGGTAAAAAGTCCTGATTTATACATAATTTAATTAAAGCATCTGAATTGAAGTATATCATTGTTGTATAGCTTTTTGTCTCTGAATTAAAGATGATAAGAATCTCTGATTTCCACTTTGCTGGTGAGACCCAGGTAATTATTTCGTTCCATGGACGTAGGGGTAGGTATAAAACTATAAAATCATTTCCATTAGAAAGAAAAAGAATCATCTCACAAAATGCGGAGCGTTGCTAACTTTTAATTAATAACTCCATGATAATTCTATCAGAGTAAAAGTTTTATGAATTAAAAACTGGAAACGCCGCGTATATGGTAAGACGTGTAAACTTGTGCTAAGGTACAGAAGATTAGTTAACTTCAAGTTGTGAATTTAAAAAATTAAGTCGTAAATCGCTTACTAGTATTACATGTTTGATTCAAAAGCCATGAAACGGTTAACTGTTGACGCCAAATTGTGTGCTTGTGTTAAATCTTTAAACTCTGTAGCAAATAACTTTACAAACGACGATCAAGGATCAAATAAAGAAATAAATTTAAAAGTTATAATACCTTTGAGAATTTGTAAAGTAATAAAGATATATTAAATAAACATAATTTTAATTATGAAAATTTATTTCAGAGCATTCTTATAAATTTAAATATGTAGTATACCTATCTATATATTTTTATCACACGTATCCATTAAAGATGTTTTGAGTTCATAAATAAATTCTATATACATATACAGGGTGACTGGTGAATTACTATCGATATTTGAGGACGTGATATTTGACGATCACATATGACAAAATAAAAATTAATATAACATAAATATTACTAAACTTCTAAGTAAAGTTAACCAAAAGTTATGTAATTAATTACGCATCGTGTGAACACCCTACAGATTAGGTATACACACACACACTCACACAGACGCGGCGGCGGCGTAGTGTTGTATCAGCACGCCGCCGCACGCGTCCACACTTGGAACACTTGGAACGTGTACACACTTTATTTATTTATACGGAAATTTGGTCAAAAATTAAGTACCAATTTTTTTTACATAATTCGAATGAGAATCATGTACCGAGTATGCTCCTTAAATATTGATAGTAATTCACCAGTCACCCTGTATATACATTGGAACAATTAATTTTTTTAACAAAAATATGAGGTTTTTAAATTAATCCATTCTTAACTCCTCTGTGTTAATCTTTCAGTGTCTGCCGCTTCTAATCATTTCTATTCTGTGGACATTAGTGTATACAGTGCCGCAGATGTCTGACATTCAGTTAGAGCGGACACTAGCTGATAGAGTGATGATGCAGAGACATATAAAATGCGCTCTCAGCGAGGGACCTTGTGACCCGACGGGGATGAGGCTTAGAAGTAAGTCTTCATATACATACAGACAGATATATATATACCTATAACTCTGTGCGTGTGTGTGTGTGTGTATGTGTGTGTTTATATTGTGCCTTGTAGTAGTGGCTTTGTTAAAGAGTATAGAGTAATTAGATCTACGACTTACGCGAGTATTCATTTAAATTAAACTATGTAATATTATTCGGATTACTACGCGATTTTTTTTTGCTCTGTCCGTGATCCCTGCTGAAAAGTAACCGAAATAAAAAAAACGTCGTGTCGGGAGTATGTAGGTTTTTTAACTCATGAAAATACGCGTAGTACTTCGATTAATATTAGTTTCATTAAGTATAGGTTTATTTCATCAATACAGCGTAATAATTAATTTATTTCCAAAAAAATGTGTTTTCTTATAAACAATGTGCAATATCTATATATATACAAAAATTATATTCTAGCCATAGCAATTCGTAAATATTAAATTTTTAAAACGTATTTTTATAAACGAGTACACAAACCACAACATACAGCCAGACAATACCATTAATTTTCCTTTCAACGAAGTCCTCGTTTCAAATATTCTCAGAACGGTATTTTTTAAAACATATATTGACAACAAAGATTCATTCCTCAAAGTGACTCGTCAACCTCAATTTTTATTATTATATACACGGAATAAATTATTATAATATGTTTTGAATTAGCATAGACTCATTTTATTTTACGACTCCATTTGTCTATGGGTGACATGACCTTCATTCATTCAGCCGATATTAGGTGTTAATTAAATATGTATAATACATTTTATCAATTTTATATAAATCATAATTTTGTGCTTTAGTTTATTTTTCTTTTTCTTACATTATTATAATTATATTTTTTCTATAATAATATTTTATGTACGGAGTTATTTTTAAAGGTCCATTGATGGATTAATACTATTTTTCACATAGAAGTAAGTTTGTATTTCTTTCATTATCAGTAATTTCTCTTTTCGTTTCTTAATGATATGTAACGTTAAAACTGATCGTTTTAAGTTAACTATGAGACTTACTATTTACTAAGAATCATATTGACGTATGGAATTATTAATTTTTTACTTCTTTATAGTTATGCTTAAAGTTTGCATAATATACAAAGAATTTCCAGTTTGTTATTCCATTGAAAAGTTCTTTAAACCTTTCTTTAATAGTTACTATTATAACTTGAGAAGATTTTTTAATGAAAAACTGTTAAAACTAGGTATAGATAGCAAATTTATGCTAAACATAAAGAATAATAAATTAATTACTAAAATTACTTGTAAATTTTTGATCTGATTGAAAAGTATTAAGGTATCTTACTAAAAAACTTGTCACATAAATTATTTTTACCAACCAAATAATTAATTTTAAAACATTTAATTTATTCTTTTATTACCTTTTAAGATATACACAAAATTTAGTATTGCAATACTACGTCCCAATTCTGCATTCGAAGAAACTGTTGAGGAAAAAACATAGTAATATTTCTAATGAAATGGTTTTTTTTTTAAATTTTAAGATTGTCTGTTTATCTATATACATATATACTTAATGTATGTCTTTGTGCTTGTATGTGTGTGTGTGTGTGTGTGTGTTTATACAGGGTAACTGGTGAATTACTATCAATATTTAAGGAGAATACTCGTTACATGATTCTCATTCGAATTATGTAAAAAAAATAGGCACTTAATTTTGTGTGTATACCTAATCTGTAGGGTGTTCACACGATGCGTAATTAATTACATAACTTTTGGTTAACTTCACTTAGAAGTTTTAATATTTATGTTATATTAATTTTTATTTTGTCATATATGATCGTCAAATATCACGTCCTCAAGTATCGATAGTAATTCACCAGTCACCCTGTATATTTTAGTACAAATGCAACATATTTGGCATCAATACCAACATCGATGCCCCGCTGTTTGCCAAATCATTGGTTTAATGAACTTTTCATTGTTGGTACGAAACTGAAAAAAGAGTTTTTATATAAATATTGAGGATAATGATATGACAATTTATAATAATCTGTATTTTTTTAATCTGTTTTAATTCTATAATCTGTTTTAGTTGCAGATTTTTATTTGGAATTGTTTAAACGATATCTATTATTATAAATCCCTACTAATATTATAAACGCGAAAGTAACTCTGTCTGTCTATCTGTTTGTTACGCTTTCACGCCTAAACCACTGAACTGATTTTAATGAAATTTGGTACAGAGATAGAGTCGAACTTGAGTAAGAACATAGAATACTTTTTATCCCAGACTTTTGAAAGGTTCTCTTGGAAACGCGATATAACCGAACTCCACGCAGGCGAAGCTCAGGCGGAAAGCTAGTACTTATATATAAAAATAAATGTTTTTATTATACTTTATATATGTTTCTCAGCTCTCGCGCCCCTCGTTCTGCGCGGATCCTGCCCTCAATGCTCATCGCAGGAGACGCGCCAAATAAGACGAACACTCGCTTACGTGCAAAGAAACTATCCGTGGGAATGGGCCAAGATTGTGAGACAATACGGATAATTGACGAAGTAGACTCTACTAAATGTATATATCCTTATTTTTATATGAAAAAAGCAAATGACAAAGAAATAATTATGCTTTATGAACATTCGTTTAACTACACAGTTTGAGGCTCATGGCAAAATTCATCGGATGGGCCCCCGTAACCCTCTCATTATAAAAAAGCTGAACGTTAAATAATAGTATTCTTTTTATTTTATAATACTTATACACTTATATTTGTAAGAGTATACTAATAATCACTGGATGAGGTCTTTACCTTTAGAAGGCTTCTTACAGAATAACTATAATATCTTTGACAATAATTTTAGTATATAAAAAATATATATACATATACATATATATAATTATTTTTTTTCATATAAGCAGGGGCCCGTGGCATTTTTCCAAATTACCACCCTATATTTACGCCACTATTCATGACGAAAAGTATGACTATATCCATAATTCTATTAAATAATTTCAACCAATTAACAATGGATTAAAAGATATTTACGCTAAACACGTTCTAATTCCAATGTAAACATAACGTTATGTAAACATAAAACATGTAAACTATTGAACGCTTAATGTAAACTGTTTGTAAATTCGACCATATCAATTGTGTTTAAATTAAAATCTATATATATGTTTTGTTTTAATATATAAATGTATGCAGTGGTTGTTTTATTTATGTAATATCTTGGTGGGAGGGTTACCCAACCAGTTGTTATGCCATAGTTATACGGCTGGCTCGTGAGTGGCATTCGTGTTCTGTGCGACGTACTGTACAGAAGTTTTAGAAATCGTTGGATTCGGGTCACTGTGAAGTAAAAGTAAATTATGCAGGTAAGAAGTTATTTATTAAAAGATATCTATATATATTGTGTGTAAAGTTCTTTGCATATATATTTTCTTATAATAACAAATCTCTTTTGAAAGTCTTGTATATGGCTTTGTGACGAGAAATTTGTGTAGTAGAAAACAATGCATTTAATACATTTTCAGTGGAATAAAATATACAAGTATAGTATAGCAATTATTTAATATGAAACGCTACCATACAAAAGACATCAACGGACTCATAAAAAGTGCCCATGTTTTGCAAATTTTATAAATATTTTGATCCCATACAAGTGACGTAGTGTGCATTACGACATGTGGGTTAAGGCCTAAGGGCAGTGCTGTGTGTGAAAAATTGTAAATATTTTATAATTGTATATATAATTATCCTCAATTTGGGATCGTTTTAATCATCTGTGGATCTGTTTCATGGCCAGGCTGGCTAAATGTTGAAGGTCCGAAAATTTCCTTGTTGTGTTTTACTTATAAAAGTTCATATCAGTTGATAGATTATTTACAGCCAGTATCTAATTTAAAAAAGGTTTTAAAAAGATATTAAACCTCTTTTTAAAAGAACTTTTTGTTTTTTAATAAAAAAAATATCTATTAACATTTTGAAACTGTGTTCAAGTTTATAAAGTAATTATAGTATATGTTCTATTGAAATAAAATAAAATCTTCGTGATACACATATAGTAAACATATATATATGTCCTAATATAACCTAATATTATTCAAATGGCGACTTTTAAACTACGCATTGTTCTAAATCATAAGTACTAAGTTGGTTTATAGATACTCATAATAATTTTAGAGAACATATATATAAGCAATAAAATATATTTTTCATACATTTAAATTAATAATACAATAAATTAATATACCTAATTAAAATTATATATGAATTAATATAAATGTCATTCAGTAATTTTGAGATGTGATATTTTATTATGAAAGTTATAAATAGCTTTGTGTATTATCAAGGACAATCTTATAAACGTTTTTTAATACAAAGCATTTTTTTAATTTCAATAATTATTTTATCTGTCACTAATTAAAACTTAATTTTTTTAAGACTTTTACGAGTTGAATTGAAAATTTAATATATCTGACGCGATTTCATTTATATACAATTACTAGCTTTCCGTCCGCGGCTTCGCCCGCGTCGAGTTCGATTATATCGCGTGTCCATGAGAAGTTTTAATAAATCTGGGATAAAAACTATACTCTATTCTTTCTCAAGGTCAACTCTATGTCTGTACCAAATTTCATTAAAATCAGTTCAGTGGTTTAGGCGTGAAAGCGTAACAGACAAACAGACAGAGTTACTTTCGCGTTTATAATATTAGTAGGGATATATTACAATAATATAAAGTCAAATTTTATAATCAATCTATCAAAAGCTTGAGTACGAATTGAGGCGGTATTTTTTTTTATTCAATTAAAAACTTTTTGCTTCAACCATAAAACATATTACTTCCGCTCGACATTTGACAATATACATAGCTATTATTAATACGTAAACGAGTAAAAAATTACTTTAACCTATAAAATAGTACAAAAAAATTATAATTCGAAGAACTAAATCTCTAGTTGCGTAATCAAATTGTTGCATGCATTAGTGTAAGTGGTACACGGACCTACATTATATAAACATAATTTTAATATAAACGTTTTAAATTATATCTCAAAATTACTATCGATGACGTCATTATAAGGAAGTGACGTAATCTGTTGCCAATTTATTTACGAGAGCACAAATAATGAAATTTTTTAAATATCATTGATATTAACAATAAAAGAATATGAATATGATCATTGTCTTCGAATTATTTTCTAAACATTTCGAATTGATTATATAGATTAAAAAATAAATTAAAACCTCCTTTTATATTTAAGATGAATATAATGGATCGTTGTCAAATTATTTCAGATTTCACACGTCATAGTAATTTTAGCAATGGCCGCTCTCTGCGTCGCTGAGACACAACGGCCTGCTGTGTCTGACACCGCGCTTGAAGACGCCCTCAATGACAAACGTTTTATACAACGACAATTAAAATGCGCGCTCGGTGAAGCACCGTGTGACCCTATTGGAAAACGATTAAAAAGTAAGTACATATTATATCATACTCAAACCTTATTTGTTTCGTCAAACCAAATATAGTTTACGGTTTTTCATTGATAAGTGCTTTGTTTCAAAAAAAAAAATACTTCAACGGTCTGTATTTAATTTCATAATTTTTTATAACTATCTCTTTTTAGGGTTGTAGATATATTTATCGGATAAAAACCGTAAATAAAAAAATTGTATCATGTTTGAACACATCAAAAATTTTAAAGTATAATGCCAATATTTTTTTATTATATCACTTATAATATATAGGTTTTAAGTTTCTATTAAAAAATATTTAACAAACAATAATCGTTTACAATAGAAAGCGGTATAAAATCAATTGGCGACACGAAAACATTACCAAAGAGCTTTATGGCTGAATAAATATGATGCAATCAAGTGCCTACTTATAAAGAGCTAAAATAAAAAGAAAGATACTTTTTTACATTTTTATCTTTGTAAAATGATTTATAATTTATTAATCTTTTTGTCCATTGTAAAATATAATGTACACTATAAAGATTTTAAGGATATAAATAGCATTGAAAATGTTCGCCCTTGATTATTTCTATTTGATATTTACTTTACTTCCTCCTTACCTTCACTTAAACATTTGATCAGTATTACAATAAATTACCGTTTTCTGCTTTTACAAACAGTTCACGAATTATGTCATTTAGTGATGCTTATTATTGACATAATAGAAAAACGTGCTCTGTAAAGACGAATAGCGGTTTTTGTAAAAAAAATAAAGACTTTTTTTTTAAATAAACCGTTCTAAATTTGAATTAAGGAGAATCGAAGTTTTGTTCTATCGAAATTTTAATTTAATAAAAAAGAAAACAATCTAAATGAGAACTTTTATTTTCAAAATTAAAAAAAACAATTTCTTTAAATTCGAATTTTCAAAATCTAATAAAATATAATTTTTTTCAGCATTAGCACCATTGGTTCTCAGAGGCGCCTGTCCACAATGTACGCCACAAGAAACGAAGCAAATTCAACGGACCCTGTCTTACGTACAAAGAAACTTCCCTCAACAGTGGGCTAAAATTGTACGCCAGTACTCTGGATAAATACATAATATCTATTACCATAGATAATTTATGGATTTTTAATATATGATTACAGATTATAAATTTAACTTTCTGATTAGGTGAAGTATTTTTTTTTACTTTACTAGCAGAGATTGTTTAAATTATTTTATCTGTAATATTCTCTGATATCCAAAGCTTTTATTTTAAGATTTTATTTCTACTGTGGTATTGTAAAAGTTACTTCGTTTTGGTTAAGAAGTAGTTGAGAAAGTTAAATATCATACTTGAAATATCGTTTGTCTTCCATTCATTTGTACCCTAAGTATTATTTATGATTAAAATCTACTTAATGAAGTAATAAAAAGAATATTATTCATGCATTAAATGTATTTATTTACGTCATTTCCTTATTCCAAAATAAATATTAATATCATTTTATCGTTAATGTAAAAACATTTTTATCCAAAAGGTCTGTAAATAGATTGTTATTTTTTTTATGCGAAAGGGGGCAATAGAGCAGACGGCCTACCGCCCATAGACATCCGCAATAAAGTTTGCGGATGTGTTGCCAGCCCTGATGAGGAAAGAGGGGAAGGAAAATGTGGGAAAGGGAGGAAAAAGGGAAAGGGTAGGGGAAAAGGGAAAGGGCAACCGGCTCTCTCACTCATCAGACGAAACGCAGCCGAATAAGGCTACTTCACGCCGATCTTCTGTGAGAGGGTGGTACTTCCCCGGTCGAGTCAGCCCATGTTCGAGCTGTAGTCACTGACCACAGCTAGGCTCTACCACCTACAAAACCTGTTATTAAGTCATGCAATATACTATTCTTACAGCGTCAAAGAATATAAAAAAATCGTAATATATCGAATATTGAATTTCTATTATTCTGTAATAAACTGACAATTGCCAGACTTCAAAATACTATTTTCAAAACAATTGCTCTAATATTCCTCTTTCTTAAAGGATATATGTAATATTTATCAAAGTAAAAATTGTCCAGTGATTAGTGTTTTCTATTTATACCAACTGTCTTAAAGATTATATTATACTTCGGAACAAAAGCTGGATAAAATATATTTTGTTTAAAAATTATAATTATTTTATTTAACTAGGAAATGCATTTGCATTTTTTTTCTCGCTTCGCTCCAAATAAAAGCTCTCGCTGCAAATCGAGTAAAGCGACCTTAGGGTTTCGGTACCAAACAGTTTTGCCGGCCTTAAAATAAAAATTGTTAGTTTGATATTTCGAAAAAAACTACCTTAAATTATAGTACATTGTGCAAAAAATCCCTCGACTAGATCGGACATCGGTTGTCGAGATCATCTCCATTGATGAATGACCTAAGTCGCCAGTGTAGCGGTCAGCTCGGTTCAGTCGAAATCTGTAAAAGTTATTCTTGAAATAAAGTTCCTTTATTTTATAATATCGTTACATGGATGTATTTATAGGAGAAATAATGATTCAAATTTGATGTTTAGACTCGAATATTCAAATAAAATTAATTTAAGAATAATGATAAATTATTTTTAATAAATCAGTTATTTTCGGATTTTTTTATTACAATGCAATAATATTATCAATCTTAAATTATTTTTCGTGAGAAAATGACGTGTGGTAACCATGTAGACCGAGCTCTTATATTTTTGTAATAGCAACACTAGTTAATCATAACACATTTTATAACATTGGTAGTTGCTGACGCTATATTCTAAGGTTCTTCCGGTTACTCTTTTGGTTATTTTAAAAAAAGATTTACCTATAAATCTAGGAAATACTATGGAATTACACTTTTTAAATATAAATTAATTTTATAAAGGAAATATCAATTTTGTAAACACTCAAAATTATTAATCTTGTTATTAAAATCAATGCTACCAACTCTACTGACCGATGAAATAATTTCGTACGCAGTCGGTGAATTTATTTACAACTTCTATTTTGCAATTAGTTTGACAATATAGAATCAAATTTAATGAACTTCTCTTATTAAATCTTATATACAATCAATGTGTGAAAGTTTATGGACTTAATAATCAGTACTGGAATGTTATGGTAACAGACCCATTCGACCTATAGTTACTATATAACAAAATATGGTTATGCGTGTCGCTTGAACATAATACAGTAGTAATGTGTGAACAGAGTGAAGTTAATTATTTGGATGGAGATATAGTATGGGTAAAGTTAGGATCTTGCTGGTGGCCGGGGGAGGTGGTCGGTACAGAGAAACTGCCACCAGACCTCCTACCATCGTTTCGAAAGCCACCTATTGCTGTTGTCAAGTTTTTTCAAGAAGATTCTTAGTAAGTTTGAAAAATATAACCTTTACTTGGTCTATATTAACAATGAATATAAGGTGTTTATCTTAAGTGCCATTGTTTGCATTCAAAGTATCCTGTACATATAGTTACATTTAAAAAATGAACATTTTATGAAATAAGTAGTACAGATTCCATTTTAGTTTTAACAAGATAATTTTCAACATTATGTTACAGCATCATATTGTTAGACACACCTATCATTGTCATCTTATTTCTGTTTCAGTGAATATGTGAAAAATCTTAATTCAATATTCAAATACAACTGTAGTAGAAAAAATGAATTCATTAATAAAGGACTATGTAAGTATTACAAATATTTTTATACTTCCCATGATTCCTTAATCAAAATTCTATTATATGTTAAAAAGTGCAATATGCAAGTGATATTTTGATAATAATTTTAAAACATGCTTTTGTATTGTACAAATAATGCATAAAATATAATTTTCGTATAGTATACTTATTATTAAATTAATAGAAATATAAATTTCACATATAAGAAATACAGTATGAGTGTTAAAATCATTAACAATTACAGATATGTATAGAACTAAACATGGTCTCATGGAGAAGTTTCCCGAGGATGTTATCAGGGCGGAAACCGCTGTGGGTGGTGATATAGCGATATTAACGAGAGACGAGTTTCAAGAAACAAAGAAAGAAAGCTATGCAGGGCTTTTCGGTGATCCGACAAAGAAAAGTACCCCTCTCCACAAGAAAGGTATACATTTATGTTAATATAAAACATGCTCTGCCTGAAACTAGAGGATTCTTTGTAAAAATAATTTCTTTATTATATGTATGTGTTAATTTTTTTATGCATAGTCTATTTAAACAAAGTTTTGATATTGATAAGCATAAATTAAAAGTATTTAATTCAGTTATTCAAAGGGCTTATTAATTTTAGTAACTACTGAAATAGAATGATAATTGTTATAAGATGTTAGATTATAGACTTAGTTTCATTAAGAAAATATAAAATTCTTTACGAGTATTGCTTAGCATATCTTTGTATAATGCTATATATTTTTAGTGCCAATTATTTAATGGTATTTTCTCCATATATTGTGTATGTTATAGAATCAAATGTATATAAATCTTGATGTAAAAAATGCTTGTCATATTTTGTATTTATTTTGTTTTTTGATTTAAAATTGTACAAAAATATATTTTGTGTACTTATTTTTAGGTAAAGGTGGAAGAGGGCGGCCGCCTGACACAGCTAAGCTATCAACTCCAATGAAAAAGGTACTTTTAATATATTGGAGAAACTCTCAAGAAATCTTATATATTAAATATCATAATATAACTATCATTAATCATTGTCTCTCACATAGTTATAATGTATGAACATTATTAATTTATCAAATTAAAAAATCCATTTCAAATAAAATACTCATCAATTCTGTCTGTAAAATTAATTATTCTAGGTAAAATAAGAAATAATTATAGCACAGGAATGTGATGTCCAACACTTATAATAATTTTACTATCAGTTATTATTTTAATTATTCATTTATAATGTATATAAATGTTTCATTTCAAATTAACAGTAAAAATATATACATATATATACATTGTGTTGATAAATTATAAATTGATATGACTTTAACCAAATCATTTTCTTTCTACAGTTCAAAGAAAAGACGAACTATAAAGTACATATATTATTACAAGGATCAAAAACTCCCAGCCAAAATAATGAGACATTATCAACACCATCGACTAGCCGAGCTGGTTCGGAACCCACAGAGATCTCACCAGAAAAATCTATTGAAAAGAATGAAAATCAAAGTGAATCTGATGAAACCGATAAAACAACTCAATCAGCCTCATTTAGTACTCCAACAATGACTAGTTCGGGACTGTATGTATGTCATGCCTGTCAGTTTTCAACACAACGCCTCAATGTACTGATTCTACATAACAAAACACATAGTGTATCATTTACACCATATTCACCGTCACCAGTTAAGAAGAAAACGGTCAGCAAAATTAAATCAACGCCAGTTACATCTAAAACACCCAAAGAACGCAAGCGTAGGACGGAGAAATCTGAAAAGAAAGAAAGAAAGACGCAGAGCAATAAGCGTTCAGCTGAAACAGAGACTGTATCGGAAGTGAAGAAACCTAAAACTGATGAAGAAATTAAAAGCAGTCTCTTAGCGGACTGGGATGATGGTGATGAAGAATCTGCTGATGAGGCTTCGACTATAGTAACAGCCGGTTCACCTGAAGTGCCAATGGCGGCAGAATCGCCAGCAGTGCCAACCCCGGCAGAGCTGCCAACCAATCAGGATACAGCTGATGAGAAAAAAGATTCACCAACCCAAAAGCCGGAATCATCCAGCGATTCCAAATATGAATTCTGTGAGGACGAAGATTGGCCGATTGAAACGGATATCGGAAGGAAAATACCTCGCGTCAAGAGCTCCTCGAAACGTAACGGTGATAAGAAAAGTGTGAGCATCGATGAAGAAGAAATGGCCAGGGAGGTTGCTGAGTTGCTTAACAAAACTACTCTCCCGGAGCTGCCGTCGGCACCGGAACCCTTGAAAGTCGAGGAAAATTTTCCGGAGGGCTCGATAGCGAAATCTCCAGATAAAAAGACCGATAAATCACAAGATCAAAGTTCTCCTGAAAAAAAAGTTCAAAATGATAGCCAACCACCTAAAACAATATTCAAAACGAAAACATTTTTTCGAAGTCGACACTCTAGGAGCCAGGATGCAATAGGAAAATATGTTGCGGAGCAATTAAATGCAGCGGAAAGAATGGATCTGTCCGAGAGTGAATTAAACGGGTCTGAAGTGGCTTTGTCACCAGAAATAAGGGAATCGCCTCCACAGACAAAGGTTGCACGTTTGGCGCCAAAGATACAATTCAAGAAGAGTAAAGCGGAAGCTGCACAACAAAAGGAAATAGAAAAACATAAGACGGAAAAGATTGACGAAGACTCAACGAATACTACTAAAGATGTAGATATTCATGAAGATACTACTCATATAGAAGACAAAGATAAAGATGAAAACATAATGAGTGATGTAAGCATATCAAACGACGAAAAATTATATAAAAATAAACAAAAGCATAACTTAAAAGACAGCACAAACGATATTTTAAATGACGAAGAAAATTTTGAGACCCCTAATCATTCTGATTCGCAATTAAATAATGTGGTTCCAGAGAAAGAGGATAGTTCAAAAATATTAAGCTTTCCAGAAAAACCATTTGAGCCGTATATGAATGAGTCGACGGCATCGGCGGTTGATGCGTTACTGAGTGTGTCTAGAGAAGCTGATCGTGTTACTAAAGTTATAAGTGACGATCCTCCCGAAGATTTATTTGAAGATGACGTAAAAGACAGCGTACCCGTTAATATAAATGGCTTCGGCGATAGCGAACACAACAATATAACACAAAATGAAGATGACATCGAAAAAACGAGTGATTTGACTGAAAAATTGGTGGATAACGAAGTGTCTGATGCACAAGTTCGTGATGAACAAGAGGAGAAACTTCCACAAAATAGTATAAATGATAATACGTCTCCGAAACCTCTTAAAGACGTGGAAGACGTAGCAGAAGTCATGGATACGAATAAACTTGATGTAATTAATTCTAATTTGATCTCAATTGAACCCGATAATAATTTTCCCGTTGAAAATATCCCGTCTGAATCTGATTTGCAAGTGGCAGAAGCTCTGATTAATTTACCCACGACTACATTAAATAATAAACTGCCAGACGGCCACACAAACGAAACGAGTGTTAAAGAAGATAAAGAAACTACAAATATCACTAATGATGTACCTATACAAAGCAGTCAAAATTTCTCCTTAGAAGAAGAACCAGATATATCACCTATCCAAACAAAAATGATAGTTAGTCCAAACAAAGAAATGAATTCGCGATATGAAACAGAACAAGAGAAAAGTGAAAATTTAAACGCAGCGAAATCTTTAGTACAAATGTCAGAATCCATAGACCATAAAATAAAAATGTCTGAAATGAAATCACCAAAAGAAAAAAATATTTCACAACGAAAAGACGACTTTGCTAATGAAAGTTCAATTGAAGCAACGCAAAAGCTAACTGTGTCTACGAATGACTTCAGCAATGAATCTAAAACACATTGCGGTTCACCAGATTTACATTTACATTCACCGAAATTGTTGAAAATCCTGGAAGAACCGGGTTTACCTAAGATAGCTGCTAGAAGAACTGTTACAAAACAAATCATTGTTCCACGAAAAGAGAAAATTTTAAATGTTGAAGCTGGAAAATCGCCTTTAAAACCAAAAACGCAATCACCCAAACAAAAAATAATTATTCGCAGAACTACACCAAGTAAAAACTTGCTAAACAATATCGGTGAAATAACGACACCCGATAAAATAATTTTATCCCGAACAAATAAACCGTCACAAGATGGGTCGTCTGTGCAAACCTATACAATTCAAACCTCTCCCGACATATCACCTACAAGCGATCCTAATACTATCATAATTCAGCCAAAACTTCGTCAGGTTGTGAAACCAGTATCTAAATTACAAAAAATTAAATCTCAACCCCAAACAATAATTGCCCCTAGTAAAGAAACTAAAATTACACAAAACACGAAAAGTAAGGATGACTCTGTATTTGATATTAATTCTATGCCAATCGTGTTGACACCAGAGAGTATTGAGAAAATGCCTATCGTTATGTCCGATGGAAATATCATAACGAACTCTAATAATCCACCAAAACTAGTGAAGACCAAACAAACTATAGCGGACAGCGGAAAGATGTCGCCCGGGCCTATTAAAGAAATAAAACCCATGATAATGAGCAACGAAGTAAGTAAAACTACTACACCAAATATTCTCTCAAAATCACAAAAATTACGAGGATCAAAACCAATGCTTGTGATAGATAAGACTACAGGCAAACAAAAAATTATAATGACGAAGACGGAACCATCGAAAGAAGTTAAACAGCAACCGACATTGATACAATCAGCACCTCAGAGTTCACAGAAAGCGGAGAAGTTCATAATTTTACCATCACAGAACTCCCCTCGCTCTGGGAGGACACAAAAAATTGTTATCGATCCTCAAACTGGTAAGGCGCATGTTCTTGTAGGAAAAACAGAATCCCAATTAAGTACAGCCGAAAGTACTAAACCGGTTTCAGCGAAATTGATACCATCGCCATCAGATTCTAGCACCCCCGGTAATACCGTTATGATAATTACGAACGCCCAAGGAGGACAATCAAGAATAGTACTCACACCCGAACATGAGAAAATATTGTTCCCAAACAAGCAACAGCCAGCTATGTCTCAACTTAAACCTGTAACGCATCGTATTACATCAGGAACGGGAGCTGTACAAAAAACTGTAGTTTCCACAGCTGCAGGGTCTACGAAAACTCAAACGCGAATCGTCCCTAAACAAAAGAGTGCTATAATTACGTCCAAGGGTCAACTAATAGTGGGTGGCCGAGTAGCGACCACTACTCAAAACATTGCACCATTACCTGAAATTAGACCAGCACCAAAACGAATTATGGCCTCGGAGCCCAAGAGATTAGTCCAAACAATACAGAAAAATTCTTCGGAACCATTAATATTCTTACGCCAAAATTCCAGCGCTGTGATGCAACTTACTGTAGCTCAATTCGAACATCTCCAAAGAACCGGTCAAATAATACAGAAAGCCCCTACGCCTGTACAAGAGAATAAAATAGTTGTCCAAAAGTCGATTACCATTTCTCCAAAAGAACCAGTGTCCTCAATACAAAAGCAAAGAGTCAGAAAACAGGCAAACGAGTCTCCCGCCCCTATGAAAAAAATTAAACATGAAATAGCGATAGCACCAGCACCCGCACCTGTGACTATGCCAGCCCTTACACCAATCGCACCCCCACAAGTACCGAACGTTTCGAGCACTACTACCAATATGTCAACCTCTAACTACTCAGATTTGGAAAACCTTGAAGAACTTTTGCCATCAACGGCAATAGTACGACAGTCTGAACCGACGCTAATACAGCCTCAGTCTGAGCTCAATCAGCCTCCGCCTGCCGGTCTCTCTGATGGACAACTGCTGGCAGTGCCTGGAGAACACTTCGGAGGGCCGACTGGGTCATTCTACCTATGTGTCGAAGATAATGGCAACTTCACCGCGATAGACAATCGTCCGTTAATACTTGAAAACAATCAATTAGTGCCGATGCCCGATCCTTTGCCGGTGCCGATCGCTCAACCCGAACGTAGGGACATTTTAGAGGCCGCGCTGGCTAATAGTGATGTTTTCCACGGTGAAACAACGCGCGACGAGGCTCCAGATTTTAGAGATTTAAATGCGAACGTTTCGGTTCACTGCCGAGTGTCGGAAACTAGCACAACACTAAACCAGCCCATCATGACGCCGGTCGAAGTACCTTCGAAAGTGGACAGCGAACCTACAACGGTCCCGTCTAACTTAGAGGACGGATTGGCCGTTATAGGTGTCACACCACACACCGTGCCTACATCACTCGAGCTGCCGATAACTGTAACCGATCCTAGGATAGCGCCTAAAACAACGGATCCGCTTAGCAACAATAACTACGGAACATCCTTACTACCTTCTCCAAACACGGAGTTGACGTTCACGTCCACCACAGAAGATACTGATATATCAATGGTCGGCCCGATATCGATGCCGATTTTGACCGATGATGATAACGTCGGGAAGTCCATGCCGATTCTGACGGATGAAGTAACGGAACGAACGGTATCGTCAGTGGATTCTACAATCGGATCTCCTTCATCCTTAGATGTGAGGGAATCGGAGAACGAAGACAGCAGTCAGTGGCCGCGGAGACTCCTCACTCCGTGCTCAGACACGTCAGAAACCTCATCAGAAATACCTTTACAACCCGTCATGCAACTATCAGTGAATGATCTGTCACACGACAGTTAAATTTATATATTATCGCTAACATATTATATTCACATTTCTTCTTATTTTGTCTATATTGTAACAATGAATTAATTGGAGTATAAGTGTACGTCATGATACCTATCGGAGTATGTGTTCCTGTAACCGTACAGAAAATTTTGGACATTTTTTTGGTTGTTCTATACATATCCCATTTAGTTTATTTTCATCACCCTGTTGAAGATGTATGTTCATACTTTTCGCCCCAAAGTTAGTACATGCAATATCAATTGCATACCATCTTTTCGTTAACAAAGTAAATTGTTTTATATTCGCTTCTGGAAATATTTTCTGACAACCTTTTTAATATGTTGAATTATGAAACTTTAAGCCTAGGGAATTGTTCCGATAAGAGATTTGTGCACCATTTTTTCCAAGTGACTGAATAATATATATATTTCAAAAATATTTTTGGAGAACCCGTTCTTTTCAGAATTTTATTCTTTTTTTGCTTAATAAAAGAAAATGTTAAAAATTGTTCAAATTCTTACAGTTTTTTATATGATCAACTTAGCTTTTCCTTTCGTCTTAGGCCCGGATGCGAAAATTGTTTATTTGAAAAATCATAAATCCCAATAATATCTATTAGACTCCAATGAAATTGTCTCAATAATAATCATATTCTTTTTTTTAAATATATTTATTAGTAGAATTTTCCTAATCGATTTATAAATGTGCAATAGGTTAAGTTTTAAACTTTATTTTCCTGGTTTTATCGTACACTGTACGTATTTATGTCGACTTGGTTACAATGTAATAACAGTTGATAAACTTAAGTCTAAACGGCGGGCGTTCTGAACGTGCGTCTCAATGTACATATTGATGTTAAGGGAAACTAAATTTTATGATTTCTAAAACTTAAGTGACATACAGGCGATTATTGTGTGAAAACACACGGCCATTAGAGAAATTAGGTTTGTAAATTGAAATTGAATTATGTATTGTTGGATCCCATGTGTAATATATTAAAGTTTAGGTATATTATAATATTTTTATAATGTTTAGCAATTTTTTTGAATAAAGTAAATATAGGTACATGTGTGCTATTATAACAGCATTTTTTTTTTGTTTAAACATGTCTTTGTAATGTTAAGATAAATGCTGAATACTGTAATGTAGAGGTAATGTTAAGTACAATATTTGTTGAATTAAATTATATGTCAAAAAGCACATAAGTTTCGTTTGAGTGATCTTTAACAGAATATAGATCGATATCAAAATGGGAGTCTTTAGAATATACTTCTATGTAATTAAGGTTTTAATAAATAAACTTTATTCAAGATTTCATCACTTTTATTTCTTAGTAGTATCTAAAGTAAAACATAATATGTATAAATTCTCAAGCGAGTTTTGGACGTCCGTTTATTTTCAAATTTAATAACAGATTATAAAAGTTAGTGACAGAGTATAAACACATTTTTATTGTCAATATATATAAACTGCTTGTGATCGAACCTGCGATCTTTGTTGACGAAGCTTCTAAATCACTATTGTTGACAAATTTCATAATATAGTAATATTGAATACTGTATTTATAAAGGCAAAGGAAACTTCCAGTATATTTACGTCAGATACTACGTTATATCTAATATAAACTACATTCATGATAAATTCGTAAACATTTTGCATGGCATACAAACTAATGATAACCTAACATACTTTAATAAAATGTATAAACAAAACGCATTTGATGATATTAATTTTTTTTTAAATCTTGATATGCAGAAGTGTTAGTTTGTAATATAAATAAAAATTCTTTTATAAACTACTTTATTGTACAAATTTATGATAACTATCTACATCAGGGATCATTTGAGACTTATGATGATCACTTAACTCTTAACATCTTATCTACCTAGCAGCTGGAATGTTACATTTTTTAATGAAGTAACAAAACTTTTAAAAAAACAACAATCTTTGGAAATTAATCACTGTGAATACGAAACGTAATTTTGACAGATGATTATTTAATAACGTATAATTGACATTTGACAAACTGTCATTTAGATGTTTGAGTGTTATTTCAAAGCCGTTCTAGTTGTGTTCGGTAGGAAGATACACATGAGCCCGCCTCCAGCCAGGAGTACTGCAACTATGAAGGTTGGCGCTGGACAGTAGGAGTCTAACAACGCGGCTATCACCACGTTACCTATGATACCGCCCAGCCGAGCTGCTACCATAGAAACAGCCACACCCGTCGCTCTGTAGATAAATCATATTTTGTTAATATAAGCATTTTTAATATTGTAATGTGTGTTAATATAAGCATTTGTAATATTGTAGAGTACTAAATAAATAATATGATATTTTGTGTCTTGCATACGAGCATTTTTTATTTCATGAATTTGCATTAAAGCTCTTGTTTAACAAAATATATCTAGTTCGTATTTACTTGAAATTGTTATGGAGAGGTCGTGACGTTTAAATGAAGATTTTTAATTTAAAAGAGAACTTGTTTGACGTAATAATTGTATATCGACTGTTAAGTTTTTAAATATAGTTTTAATGTAAACCTTACCGTAAATTAGTTGGGAAAACTTCGGTGATGAGACAGTCAAGCGAGGCGTTTCCGCACGAAATGACCGAACTAAAGACGGCGCTGACTATGAGGTTGTTGGTTTTATTGTACACGAAGTACATAGCACCGGAACACAGACCCGCGGAGAATGTTGCGAACACTAATAATAAATAATTAATAGTAAATAATTAATACAGAACTGAAATACATTACGAAAAACAGACATGTTTCTCTTATTATTACACCGACATTTTCTACCTACTATTTTAGAACTTATTAATACAAAATATTCATATATTTTAATCCTATCATGCTTCTAGACCAAGATCTCATATACTTTAGAGGAATATTAACCAACCTAAGAAGAACTTTCTTCCCAATTTATCCATTCCAAGCACAGCGAATATATTAGATGGTAGCGCCGCTGCTACAGTTATCAATGAATCCATGAACACATCGCCTCGTATATGTGAATCACACATCGCCTCATCTGAGTGCGAGCCTTGTCTGGTCACATACGCGGTGACTTGACATATATCTGCCTCCGCATTGTCATGGGTTCTGGACCACTCGTCGAAACGATTGAACATTTCAGGGAACCACATCATGAGACCGTAGTATCTAGAAAATTTATATATAAAGATCTTAATTCAATGATAACTAGCTTTTGCCAGCGACTTTGTCTGAATTAGTTTCACAATTAGATGTATAGCTGACCAGGCGAACTGTTTAGGTTTAAAGACACTAAATAAACATATTGGATTTTATTAGCAATTTTTTTGGACGAACGAATTCAAAATTATTGTATGTTCGTCTCCTAGTTCTAAATACTGCCTCACAAGTTTCCAGCCAAATCCGTACAGACGTTCTTGAGTTATAAATAGTGTAACTAACACGACTTTCTTTTATATTTATAGATTACAAGTAGTTTCGGAGATTAGCACTTTCAAACAAACAAACAAACAAACAAACTCTTCAGCTTTATAATATTAGTATAGATAAGTACTGAAAACGGGATAAAACAATAGGGTATTGCTGCATGATGATTATTTTCTAGTTTTCATATTGAATAGGCTAACTTTTTTTCTGATGATTAAATAATAACTTACCCAATATGGAATGTAAAGTTGATTGTTATTGAGATCGCGGTGAATTTTAATATCGGTGGTACGAACAGTTCCTTGCTGTGTTCTACGATGTCGCTAAACATCCTTCTCAGCTTGGACTTCTGTTCTTTGGTTTCAAGATCGATTTGTTTCTCCGGCCTCACGTGTACTTGATCGTCAACAAGTATCTGCTTCACTGGATACAATTCCTTGTCCTTTCCAGTATTCATCATGTATATACCCTTGAAGACTTCCAATGCTTTGTCGTGGCGTCCCGTTGTTATGAGAAACTTTGGTGATTCGGGAAGTAGGAAGAGCAGAGCGGCGACAAGAAATGATGGTATTGACATAACCAATAAGAAAATACGCCATGAGTTGTAAACGAAACCACCGTACGCGCCTCCGATTTCTGAAAAAAACATTCAATATTTTTAATTAAATAGATTTTGGTTAAGTAAATGTTGATGTAATTTAATATTTACCACTAGGAATGATAACCCAAGCTAGCCCAGCTACGAATAAATTGCCCAAAGTCCAGAAAGCAGCCATAAAACTCAGCATAGCACCACGCTTCTTTTTCGGCTGGAATTCTGCGAAGTAGGACCAGATAACTGGACCTGACCCACCCAACCTATAAAAAAGACAAAACTTCTAACAAAAAACAGTTAATCTAATAGATTATTAAATAAAACGCAATTATATGAAATGTTTTCTGTATTGAAAATATATATAAACTTACGCAGCGCCATTAATAAATCGGAATAGCATAAAGAGCTCGTAGTTCTGACTGAAGGAAGAGGCGACGATAGCTAGCGCGTTCACGATACTGATCGCTATTAAAACACGCTTGCGACCGAGCGAGTCCGCGACAGAGCCCCAGGCGTACGCTCCGACCATCATACCGATGAATATAATACTGTTCAGCCATCCCTATAATATACATTTCTTGGGTTAAACAATTTCTTACAAAATAGACACTGATTTTTTGTGTTTAGGGCCATACAGTGATGCTTAGAGGGGAGAATACATTCAATAGACACTATGTGTTAGTATTATAGGTAGGTAAGCTAGATATCTTAAGGAAAATTTAAGATAAGTCATGATATAATTTCGTTGTGGTCTATCTAGAAAGTAAATAGAGTTGTCGATTAAATGAAAGAGTGCCGTAATAAAGCTACTTCATTCTTATTTTATCCTCTCAATTCATCTACATACAATTAATATAATTGTTGATAATATAAAGAGTAAAATTGGTACCTACTCAACCGATCAGCAAAAGTACTACTTGATACAGTTATGCAGTCGAAGTATAAACTTTTATAAATTAATTAAAACATTTTTATTAAATATTAAGCTGTAAACTTTACTGTCCTCTTTATTTTTAGAAATATGATGGCATATTCACGACAACATACTTTAGATCTTTTAATTAATCAATATTTTTAAGAAATTTTTTTTACAAATAACATTAATTTTTTAAGTTTCTTTTTTATGTTAAGAAACCTTATCTCTGTTCATACAATGATAATTCAGATAATATTCCATAAATATTGTTCTTTTTTTCATTGGGCAACATCGAACCTTTGCCGTCATTTATTTATAATGAGTTAGTTGCACTTGCATGTTATTTACAAATGCATTTCATTTCAGAATCATATTTAAATTATGCATATATTATTCTAAGATAAGGTGACATTGAGTGTGAGTGCCAGGAACGAATGATTGATATACAGAATCTAGACAAATATTTGTTTATATTGTTATCTCAATTCTCATCCAATTTTCCTCCTACCGGTCGTTTGACATTTGCGAAGTGTGAAATTTATGACATCACGAACAAATCATAAACAATATTATTAACATATAAAGAAAATTAAACTGCGGATTTCTCAATTATATGTTTGTTGAGAATTATGGAGAAAAATGAAAATTCTAAGATTTTATACAAATATATCAGTGAAAATCTTTAAAAAAACCAGACTTTTTATCGTATAAAGATGGCTTACGTTTCTAGAACTTCTATTTAAAAACTTAATTATAGATATATTTATTAAAGTATAAGCTAAAAATAATAATTACGTGTGAATGTGTCATTACAGCATAATTCTATATTTATTATAACTTAATAACTACGTGTGAGTGATGGTATTGCGTATAATTTATAGGAAAAAAATAGTCTTCTAAATCTTTATAGCTCTAAATAACGATTGACCAGAGTTCACAGCTATTAAATTTATGTTATGATATGATAATGATATCTTTTAAATCACTATTTAATGATGTATCTGTAGATGTTAATAAGCAAGGAGTTCTTATATGTTTGGTTTTGTGAACACTGGCTGGAGGTTGGTTATCGCGATTCAAATAAAAAAAAAACAATTGCTATTAAAGTATGTGTATTTAACTAGATAGTTTAAAAATGAGCTAAGTAGTTATCCTATATATAGTAGTATAGGTAGTTACTTACTTTAGTTTGTGTGGTGAGCTCTAGGTCGCACTGTGCTGAAGGTAGGATGAAAGACATTGAGATGACGTCCATCTCCTCGGATGTACTGACGAGCCCGCAAACGGCGAGCAGCATGTAGTGGAAACGGCCATAGCCTGGACAAACAAACACATTTATTTATGTTATTCCATATTATTAACTTGTTTTTGTATCTTTTTCTTTGTATATTTAAGATTTAATACTTTTGAGTAATTGTAACATCTTTATAAAGAACACGCCATCTACCGGAGGTGAAACTTGTTATAGCTAATCGTAAATAAGGCATCCACGACACAAGCTCGCTTAGTGTGGACGCCCCTGGAAATCGCGCCATGTTAAATATTGTTAAAACTTCAGCAAAATATTGTTATGTTTTTAATTCTGTTCCCTGTTAACATTGAGTTATTGCTGGTAATAAAGTATATTAATTTTCAGTATTTTCACATATTGTTGATACAAATTATAATCACTTAGAAAAACTGATAAAAAAAGCCCAAGAACGATTTAGTTGGGTTTATTTTAAATCTTGATCGTTTTTTTCTGTCCGTTGATAATTAGAGCGTTACATTTGTCTTGAATTAATGTTTAACCCAATAATAAGTTTCTTTAAATAGTAACAAATATTTAAATTTAAACGAAAATAAAGAATTTTAGCGACCTGTTTAAAACAAATGCCTCAAAATTTAAGCTTTATTTTAATGAAATATAATAGTTACATACATATTTTATTTAATTGACAAAAATAAAAAAAAATTGTTGTACTTTTAGTACGCGACATGATGACCTTGTAGCCAAAAGAACTGTCTCTTATTCTTAGCTGTATATTGATAGATTGTATTATAATATAGACAAGAAATCGAACTAAATTAATTAATATCACAAACAATATAAAAATATTACTTTTTATTTAGATAGGGACGTACTAAATTAACTGGCGAATTGTTAAATAGACTTATATCTGTTTAAATCTTAAAGCAATTTAAATATCTGATAAATAGGAAGAGTGATTTCACAAAACAAAGCAAGTAATTTCGTCTGAAGATATAAAAATACATTTAAAATAAAAAAACTCATTCCATTTTTATGCTGTCTAAATCAATTTGTACTCTGACGCTCTCTTAAACTGAAGACTTAACTAATTACTTATTCGTCACGGTCAAGCAAAGCCGAATTTAATTTCGCCAGCTACCGATTCTCCCAAACTATAAACGTCCGAGCATCCTGTATAAAGGTAAACAGACGCTGTATGTCATGCGAGGCCTTCCTAGAAACAAATGTTTACGTCGTATCCCTCACGCCACTCAGGAATGCATAGTGGGCACTCCATTCATAAATCGACCATTAAATGTTGCGTTCGAATTACTACACTCACTAAATATCTTGTTACAACGCGCATGTAACCATAGCAAGGGAATTTCGTCATAATAAACATATTTTAAGCGACTTCAATTGTAAATTGCTGTACTTTCAGCGATTTAAGATCAGAAAACTTAATAATTTTTTCATAAATACGATATAATTAGGGGTTATAGCTTAAACTTACAAGTACTGAACTTAGTTGTTGGAAGACTATTTACTTGTATATCGAACACAACAACACACTAATCTATTCTCCGTATTGTTTTGATCCTGATATGTATGTGAATTCGGTTTGATATTGTGTTACATTATAAAAAATATGGTCAAGAATTTCATCGAATACTATTTATAGAACGAATAAGTGGTGGCCTAGTGGTTAAAAAGCCCGCCTCTCAAGCATGAGGTCGCGGGTTCGATCCTGGCAAGTATCAATGTGATTTTTCCCAGTCATATGTACTTTCTAAGAGTATTTAGACATCACTGGTTAATGCATTCCCAAAGAGGGTTGATGTCTGGCAGGCGGCCGGTCGTAAAAATAATTAGACAAAACTATTCACAATATGTAAGGCAGACCCTGGCTAAAGCTGGTAAATTGCCAGGTAGAAGACTATTTATAGAACGAATAATTAAAGTTATGTTTTCTTTACTTTAATTCAATTGCATGATCTTCGTGTTTGATAATTATAATTATTATAATATATGTAATGTAATGTATATTATTGTTTTTATTACCAGTTAGTTCGATCGCCCGTTCGAAGTCAGCCTTTTCTGAATTCGATCCCTTTTCCGGGTCGAGTTTTGCTGGTGACTTTAGCGAAGGCACGACGCCTGTACAAAAAAATAAATATTAAACACATTTTATAAATATATATGTACAATCACACAGTAATTACGAAAGAGGATAACTTAAGATAGCTTCTTAGTCTTTATAAAAGCATATATATTCATTAAACAAGTTAGTACTAAAAAAATACATTCATAATTCTTATTTTCATATTTGTTCCCGCACGACGTCAACGGCGTTCTGTTTTCATATGATACAAAGTCGTCAACAATTGCTTTGAACGTTTTAAATGTAAATACTAATTACAACATTTTCATTATATATAATAACTTCATATAACAAAGCAGTAATAGCATATTATTGTTTGAGAAGCTGAACCGATCTTCAAAACATGCAAATTTTAATATCCACTGCACTTGTGATGTATTACTTTTGTTTTGTAAGACCTTTTATAAGTGAAGGACGTAATTATTATAATAGGTTAACGAACTTTTTTTTGACAAGTTTAATTTTAAACAGATAATATTCATCAATTTTAAGAGCTAGCAACCCTGAGCTTACACGTGCATATAAATGTATATACATATTTAAATTTGTTTACTTATCAAACAATATAAACCTGTTTCGTTGTTTCAATATTCAAATTATATTCAAATCTCTGTACGACTCGTGATTATTGTGCAGCTTTATTACAGTTTAATAATTATAATATATTAAAACAATTAAATTATATATATTTATAATGCATATTATTTTTTTTATTTCGACCTACACTTATACAGCCAATAATGTATTCTTAACTTCATAGATACTCTAACTGATAGTAAACTCTAATTTCTTACATTGTAATATCGGATATCGATGAGAGTGTAGGATACTCTATATATCGAATTTAAAACTGCATTATCCTTTAGTAAACAGTCATAATATTATAACAATATAATATTATCGAAGTCATTTTACCATAATATATTTACATTCTTTCTCTAAATTGTATATTTTTTAAATGGCTAATTAAATACTGGCTAAACAGATTAATTGACATAAAACCTTTTTGACAGTTCATGTGTAGTTTCATCTGTCAAAATAGTTCTAGTAACTTTTTAAATTTATAATCAAAAGTATTCTTACCGAGGTCAACAGTTTTGGAACCTAGTCCGTTTAGTTGGTGGTCACTTGTTACATCACAGTCTGAAAATAAATAAATAAAAATTTAATTGAAAAAATATAATTAATGTACCTACAAAAATTCTATTTTTGATTTTTCATATACGAGTATTATAATTCTAACTGTTTTAGGATGAAAAAATCGTTAAATAATGTTTAATTAATCTGTCAAATGTTACGTATAAATTTTTTTATCTTTAGATTATTATATCTCAAAAAAACCCTACAATTAAACCCCTATAACCCTTCCCCTTACAATTTGGATGATACAAAGAAAACGAGCAAAAATATTCTAACGTAAAATTTAGTGAATTTAGTATTACGAGTGACAGTTAAAACCATTTTTTTTTTGTAATGTTGCCAGCCTCAATGACTTTTACGTAAAAAATAGGTAGAAATTATATTAATAATTTTCTATTTTATTTTGTAAATTTACCTTTTTTAAAATTTTTGATTTGTTTTTACTGCGGCTCGGGCTGGGAGGTCTAATTTAGATAGAAATTAAGCATGATGTATACCTATAAATGTTTCTCACACCTAGTTTTAGGTTATGTGTATTGTATATTTTAATAAATTAATTAATAATATTCTCACTGTGAGTTTTCTTGGTACCGGGGTCAGTTTCTCTCATCCTATGCGGGCGGGCAGCTGTTGATGCCGGCGTTACGACGACAGAACCTCACTCACTTCTGGTGTAGCTTCCAAAGGGGAGCTTCTTTCCTGAAACAACAGCTATTATAATACGTTCTAATTATGTTTTTAATGACGTCGTGCCTTTGTCATTAAATCGAATATTTTAACGGCACATGACTAAGTCTTGTTTATAAGACGCGCTTTGTTATGTGGTTAAGGAGATTTCAGCGTTAGTGAGAGCTATTACTTTAGATAAAAACCGTAACTACGATGTTTTTCGATTATAGATATTCAATAATCGCTAAATAGTTCCGATTTTAATTAAAACCATCACTAGATTTTATGAAGTTTTTTTTTTAAATATAGAACAAACTAAATTATATTTCATGAAATAAGTTTTAAATTTAAAAACTATAACTATATTCTTCAAAGTAATCTTAGATTTTAATAGAATAATTGTAAACGTTTAATTAAAAACGCTCTACATATAACAAACAGGTTTTTTTAATTCTAATTACTTTATATGAACAACACTCGATCGTTTGAATCACAGCTCAGATTTAAAATTATTTATTATCTATGATTTGAGAACAATACACAGGAAAGATATGATTATTGCAAAAAAAACGGGCCACAAGCTGTTTTTAATATAAATGACAAATTAATATCTTTATTACTATTTAAATTTATCTTGTTTTGTATAATAAGTTCACTATTACATCAAGAAAATACTAATAAACAAGAAAAATTTAAGAGAAAGTACATAATTACGCAGTTGATATGATTTAAATCAATTAGTTATCAGATAAAACCATTATTGAAATATAACCTATTGATTTAAATAATAACAATAACTAAACGATAATTCACAATGATTTATGTTAATAATAAATACGCAATCAAATATTAATAACTGTTTTAAGTGCTAATGATTTATGTTTGTGGTGTTGCCACTATATAAAATCTATTATATATTTAATCTTAAGTACATTTTTACTACGTTCTTCCGCATGTGTAACAGGCAACACAGGATATATTTGTGGGTAGCGTGAGATAATTCTTTATGTAACTGGATCACAATCTATTGCAAGGAACTAGAATACGTCTTTATAGAACATCCATCAATGGTTGCAATACGAAGGATGATTGGGACAACGGAAGATTCCAGCCGAGTTCTACAGATAATATTTAATATAAATCTAATGAAATAAATGTAAAAAGATATATAATATATGTACATATATTATTACTTATGAGATATAATACTTTCGCGAGTATCTAAATAAAATTTTTGAAATCATCTCGTCTGGCAAAGATCACGATTGCTGAAAAGTAATCCAAAAATTGGGAGTATGAAGTTAAAATAATAAAAAAATGAAAAGTAAAGCCGAATATATTAGTTTTATTTAAATGTATTAACATTTTATGAATGCTTGTTGAACTAACACAGAATGTAATACTCCTTTAATTGCATTTATATTACATAAAAGCCACTCTGATATATATGTGATCCAAAATATATTATTCTATAGTAGGATAACTAAACGAATGAGTTTTCCTAGGTCGATATATATAATTAAAAACCGGTCATTTGATGCAAGATTGTGCTACAGTCCGTCATACTTCTAGTCATTGTTACAAAGAATAATACAATAACTCATTGCTTATTTGCATGAATTGGAACAGAATTAAAGCAAATTATTCTTATTAAGTGCAATCTTGTTAGTGCTACTGTATTGTTTTACTATAGAACCGGTAACTAAGAACGAAAATACTATATAAAGTAAGTGAAGGTTTGTATATATAAATATATCAATAATAAATAGGTCTCTTTCTTTGAAATAATTTTTTGGGACGACATAATTATGGCGTATTTGTCAAGTAAATTAAAGGAAAATTGTTTTTATCTTGAGAATATATTATAACGTACCTGCAATTTCTATTGTAATTAATATTAAAATCTGTGATTACAAATGAAATTCTATGTTTATTTATAATACCTATAAGTAATTGCAATAGTACCTACTCCTATATTAGAATATCCAACATTATTTAACAACAAAATGGCGTCTGTAAAAATGATTGACATTAAAATTGTAATTGTAATTATAATAGAAATAAGGCTATTAAAATGTAATAAATCAAGGAATTGAAGTTTTAATATACCTACAGAAAAATTAAAAATATTTCGAAGAATTGGTAAGTATTTTATAATCTGTGTTATTAAAAAAACACTGAATAAAAAATAATTACTTTTTTGGCAAAAAAAAGTCAAAATGCACTTTAAGTTGGCAATAAAATTAAAATGTAGTTTAAACTAGGAACTAATAAAACAAAGTTTTTATTATTTGATAAAACTAAATGCGTCTTAATTGGTTTTCGTGTTTGATATTATTATTTTCATAAAACAGTTATAAAGGATTATCTTCATCTAATCTTCTACATATATATATATAAAAATGGATTGCTGTTCCTTAGTCTCGCTAAAACTCGAGAACAGCTGAACGGATTTATCTTATCTTAGTCTTGAAATGTTCGTGGAGGTTCAGGGAAGGTATAAAAGCTGAAAAAAAAAATGATTCATTACTGGGAAAACCATAAAAACAGCCCTTTTCTATTACCCATACAAACGTTTTTTTTGACATTAGATTTGACAACTAACTAATATGTCAATCATTCTGTCGCACTTCAAAACACGGAGATTTATGGCTTACAGGTAAACTCCAAAAATATAAATAAAAAAACGTAATAGACATTTCTTGAATATAGGGCGATACGAAGTTCGCCAGGTCTTTTAGTTCTTAATAATCTTTGACTACTAATTAAAAGAAAGACTTATAGAAAAAGTCATATTTGACAAATGTTATTTTCTCGCACTTACCCATGTATCTAGTCCGCGATTTCTAAATTGTACGAAATTTCGCTTAAATTTCATTTTATAATCATTATTTATACTATTTTCTAATTAAAATTTTATAATACTATAAATAAGGTAACATCTTAATAAGAAAAATCTATTATTGCAGAACTTTATTAGTGAAAATACATTTGTAAACTAAGCTTAAGCAAAAGTTCAAATCAAAATTTTTATAGATTAATTTTATTTTATTATAGATATCAGTTAAAATTTTAGGTTTGTTTACTTGCTATCTTTACACAGTTTTTGGACTCACAGACACACAAACAGTTAAATATTATTTATATATAAATAATAAGAAAACGCATGTGACAACTTTCTACAACACGAGCTCTAAGGATACTTATATAATCCAGGAATGTTATGTCTGTTAAGTGTTAACTAAAATATTTAACTTTTATTAACACTTCAACTGTTGCAACCGTTTGTATTAACTTTTAGGATAGGCTCGGGGATTGCGAAATTTGACGTATATTATTGAAACAGTGGATTAAATAAGAGATATTATTGTAAATAAAACTAATATCATACGGATTACTACGTGTATTGAAACTAATATTTTGAGGATATACCACGCGACTTTATTTTTGATAAAAACTACATACTCCCGACGTTTCGGTTAAAGTAAATCTTGTTTCATTTAAATGACTCGCGAAAATATCAGATGTCATTGCTCTACGTGTATTATTCGGATTATTATTATTTTATTATTTGATAGCGAAATATCTGCCCGTGATTACAATTGAAAAATAAACGAAACGTCGGGAATATGTTGTTTTAAAATAATAAAATACGCGTAGTACATATATACGAATAATATTAGTTTCATTTATATAAATACTCGCGAAAGTCTTAGATCTCATATTACAGTAAATTTATCATAAGTTTTAGTTTTATACTACATACGAAGCTTTTTTTATTTTTCATTAATGAGGGCGAAGGTTTATGAATGAAAAACTGTTGACTCTCCATATGACGTACCCTTAGTTTGAGTACATTTCAGTAATTATAATCGAAATAAAACATTAATATTTCAATTTTATAATTGTAATATAAAGTATTTGATTTTTCTTATTTGATTGTAACTTTCGCACTGAAACATATAAAGCTTTTAATTCCCCCCAGAATCCCGAGATTGTAATTTATATACATCAAACTATTATCAAATTATATTTATATAAAGTTATGTAAATTTCTATATTGACCGTATAATTATTATTATTTAATTTTAGTTAACTTATATTGCGAAATGGTTAAAAATGGCATTCATATTTAATACTAAACAAAATAACAAATTCAATGAAGGGTTCCACTTCATTGAATTATAACAACAACTATTACTACAAAAAATCTTTTCTATTAAATTACTTGTTCCTCTATATTATCTTTATTAACTAAAAAAAGACTTAATACTAATATTATCCTCTATATATTTGTATTAAGTCTTTTTTTAGTTCTACAACTGCATACAAGTTTGCAATTATCGTTTAATTATTCTGTTGCTACAAAAAAAAAACAGTTTTGTCGTTTTTTAAACTTTTGGTGTTTTTCGTCAACGGGACTTACCCTATATATTTATAATGTATTACAAAAAGTCTAATGATTATGATTTAGAACTTTGAATACATTTTGAAGGTTACTACATCTGAGTACTCTGATTTAATTC